CCTCTGGCCACCAACGTCCTACCTGCCTTGAGCCCGCCAGGAAAGGAACAGGACATGGCTGCAGGGGCTGGATGGGTCACGTGGGACAGCACACCACCAAACACTAAGCACAGCCTCCCCCGCATCCACAGCCCACCCCTACGTGCTATACACGCGGCATGACCGACAGGGCTCTGCAGAGCCAGGGCCAGGCAGGGCATGCACCCTCCCAGCACACTGCGCCCTGAGCCCCCAGCCCCAGCCACGAATGCCCCCAACCAACGGGCAGGTCCCTGGGCACAGGGCCCACACCACGGAGGAGGAGGCAGATGCAAAGCCCGGGACGGTAACACAAGAGCCCAGGGAGACCATGGCAAGGCGAGCACATCGGGGCCAGATGGACACTCTGCAGGGTCAGTTGGAGCAGAGATACTCACGGGGACAAGTGGCCCCATCCCTGCCCTGTCTCCTTCACTCCCGTCTGGGACTCAGCCACCAAGGCCCAGAAGCAGCAACCCTCCTACAACCAGGCAGCCCTACCCAGGCCTCAGAGCAGACCTGGCCCATCACCCCTGGGGCATGCAGCAGTGCCCCGACCCCGGGCAACTCCCACAAGGACCCAGCCTGCCACCTCCAGGCACTGGCCCTGTGCTGCATGGCTGCCTGCAGAGTCCCCTGTGTGCTCCTGTGAGAGAGACACGGTCACCTTGCTGTGCTCACACAGGGTGGGGCAGAGACCCTCCTGGGCTGGCCTTCTAGCCAGGACCCCGGGAGCTGCTACCCCGTACCCATGGCCTGGCCCACCCTAGCAAGAGAAAGTCACCCAGGAAAGGAGCTGTAGGCACAGACACAGTCCACGAGGACCCAGGGTGGTGGCCGAGGCCCCTGCCTTGGACACAGCTCTGGGTTTCTTCCCATGGCTGCCTCCACCTCCACTCACAGACCTGGAGATATTCCCCAGGGGCCAGGCCAGGGTCAGCGAGCCATGCTGAAGGGCGCCCACACTGGGCCGGCCCTGCGGGACCCGGCTTCTGCCCTCCCTGCCTGCAGCCCAGCGAGGGCCTTCCCGGGGCCACCACAGCATGGCACACAGCCGCAGGGGTCTGCAGTGCTGTTTGGGCCACTGTTTTGGGTCGGGGAGACCAGTGGGGTCCTGGTGGATGCTAGTGAACCACAAGAACCTCTTCAACGCTTTTTCTTTCCTTTCCTTTTCTCTTCTTTTCTGATTTTTGTTTTGAGACAAGGTCTCTCTAAGTATGCTGGCCTCAAACTTGCAGTCTTCCTGCCTCAGCCTGCCAAGTCTCTGGGATTACAGGCTGCAGTTCATTTGATGATAAGGTAGTATGCTGACCCCGCAACAGGACCGGAGCCCTCTGTGTAGCACAGGAGGGACTCCACTCCCAGGGCTGCCTCTGAAGGGACGCCTCTGTGCAAGGCCAAGTCCAGAGGAGAAGGAAAGCCTGGGCCTCCCCTCCTGCCTCTGCCCTCCTCCCTCCTCCCTCCCCAAGAGCCTGGGCGGACAGGCCAGGCGGGGCAGGGCGGGCGGGCTCAGGCAGCTAGCTCGGCACTCACCCTCTGGACGGCTCCTGGGCTCCCAGTTGGAGAGAGGACACAGGGCAGAGGCCATGGCCTGCCACACTAGCCCGGAGCACGAGTGCCCAAGCTGGAGCTGCCACCGCAGCCACCTGGGCAACCGAGGCTGGGAGGAGCCACCGCACCCAGGGGTTGCCAGAGAAACCCCAGGCCAAGTAGACGCCTCCTCCCCTCCCCCCAGCAGCCCAGGAGCCCTATTCCCTCGCCAGGAGCCTCAGCCGCGCTGCTGTGGTGTGGGGGCAGGGGACACCTGCAACACCGCCCTCCAGGCAGAGGGCCTTCCCTGCCCCTGAGACCCGCCCTGTTGGGGAAGGCAGCACACACTCAGAGCCTGGTCCACCTCTCATCCTGGAGCCCCAAGCTCGCAGTCCCCGTGGTCCCCTCTGAGACCCTGGCAGACCCTGGCTCCAGATGCAAGCAGGCCCCGGGGAGGGACAGCGGCCTGGAGCACAGGGCAGGAAGGGGACGCTAAGACAGCTGAGGCCAGGCAGGTGGGTAAATGAGGCAGGAGCCTGCATCACCAAATCCAATGACACCAAAGTCAAAGCCTACAGAATCACTCATGTGGCTAGAGGGGCTGTGGGCGCCTTGGGGGCAGTGTGTGGAGGCTGTGGGGGCCGGGCTGTGGCTCTGCCCTTGCTGGGGTGCTGGTCCCCAGCCCAAGTGCCGAGAACCTTCCTGTGTGCCCGTAGATCTGAGGGCTGCTAAGCTGCTCCCACCCTGCCCCAACCCCAAAGGTAGGCGCCTGGGGACCCAAGTTCCCGGGGGAGGCAGCCCACCTGATGCCAGCTCAGGGCCCCCACTGTGATTCACACCATGGCCAGTAGGTGGCGCCTTCTCTCTGTCACTGCCACCACGCAGGCATGGAGGGTAATCTGTCATGCTTGCTCGCCCACCTCCAAGGGGTGTCTCTCCCAACAGAAAAAAGCACGTGTCTGCCAGGGAAGCCCTGTAGGCACCAGGAGTTTGGGGCATGGGGGAAGATGGCTGTGTCCTGGTCTCTGGACCACACCCCAAGGAGCATGGGCAGGGATCTGGCTCTCAGGCAGACCTCTTGGGCCAGGACCAGAGTCGGGGCCCTCCGCAAGCCACCTGGGGCTGGCTCCCATCCTAGGTGGTGTCCAGGAGGGACACACCTGCAGCCAGGGTGGGGGTCCCAGCTGTCTAGGAATTAGAGCTGCTCTCAGGCCCCAACATCTGGCACCCAGAGGTTCATCTGGCATGTGCAAAGGGCTCAGGTGTGTGCCAGCCCCAGGTGGCCAGGACACAAGCTGACCCCGTCTTTCAGTGCCAGGAAAACTCGGAGAAGCCATCCACCTGGGGGTGAGCCTCGAATCTGCACTCCACAAGGAGCTGTGTCTCAGTTACCCTTCTCTTGTTGCTGGGACAAATACCTAACACCCAAAATTAAGGAAGGAAAGGTTTACATAGCTCACAGTTAGTGGGGATTTCAGTCCGGACTGGGCTGGCTCCAAGGCAGGGTGGCACATGGCAGAAGGCAGTCTTTCATGGGGGCAGAAAACAGCGAAGAGCAAAAGGTGGATGGAGCAGTGGCTGCGGCCGCTCACAAGCCCCTTCCGCTCCCCACACTGTATTCAGGCTGTCCGCCCGGGGCGGGTGCAGCACTCACACCCGCAATCCCAGCATTGGATCATTAATTAATCACAGACTCTAGAAGGCAGCCCAGGGACTGCGTGAGGCTTACGAGGACAACTAGGGACAAACCCCAACAGGCTGAAATCCCTGAAAAATTCAAGGCCTTCCCCTGCTGCTGTCCTTGCACCCTGAGTAGCACCCCAAAGCGGCAAAGTGAGGCCCTCACATCCCCAGCAGCCTCTGTGGCCCAGACTGGCCCTTCTGTCCCATCTCTACCACCTGTGCTCTTACCCCGGCGTCTGTCAAAAAGAGACCTGAAGCGGTGGAGCCAGAGCCCTGTGCAGCCCCAGCACGGGGCACCCCACCACGGACCAGTAGCCAGGAGCAGTGCAGCTGCGGTAGCTGAGAAAGAAGTCTGACCTCCTGGGCACAGGCCTGGCACTGCAGACCACAGAAGAGGCTACAGGGCCGAGGCTGAGGCCACGTTCCCTGAGACCCCGGCTGGGGAGACCAGCCAGGAGACTTGGCTACTTGTTGGGGGACAGCTCCTTGGGTTCACTGCCCACCAGGCCCCGTCAGGGCCTCGTCTATGCCCCTGTACCCCAGCAGCCTAGGGACCCACGTCCACCAGAGCAGGCGGGTGGGCCTGTGACTGGAGAATCTTGGGCCACAGAAGCAGGGTGGCCTCTGGGAAGCAACCCCAGCCTTCCAGGGGTCCCTCCAACATGAAGAGCCAACACGCCCAGGGCCACACCATTCCCTGTGTCTTAGCAGAGTCCTGTCTCAAAATAAAAAAATAAAGACGAGCTGGGGATATAGCAGCCAGCGCAGGGGCGCTGGTTCTGTCACTCGTCACGCGTGCGCCCCCCTTCCCGCATGCACGCGCGCGCACACGCACAGCAGTCAGGACCCTTGCTGCCATCTCACAGAGGCTCCCAGAGGGTCAGAGACAATCCCTGTGGCCAGCCGGGCCTCGGGGCTTCTGAGGGGACCACAGGGTACCGGCCCCCGTGCTGGAGAGGGAAAGCCCTTGACTGGTGCTGATTTCACCTGAAACAGGATGAGAGAGCAGGGAAGGGGTTCCCATGGCAACCAGCAGCTAGCCTCGGGGACCCCTGGGTGAGGGAGGAGCAGAGCAGATCCAGGGGCAGATCTGCAGCCAGGAGGAGCAGCCCAGAGAGCCCCCAGCCCCCGGGATAGGCACGGCCAGCTGCCATTCTTGCCCCAGCTGGGCCCTAGGCAACTGCCCCCTCCTGGCAGTTCCTCAGCCAGCCTGGCTCCCCCCGGGATCCCCATAGCACCAGCATCCAACTTTGTTCTTCCCTAGTCCCTAACTTCAAGGAGAAGTAGCCCTTTGCCCCCAGCACCTTCCATGGGTGTCCCCTCCCCCACTGTGCCCCTGTGACCCTACCTGACACTCAGCGCTGGCATGTGGCCCCTGGCTGCCCACAGGCTGCTCAGCATGAGGCTAGCCATGGTATCTGAGGCTGGGGAACGGTGGGTGGCACCACTGGGCAGTCTGGCTCCCAGACAGAAGCCCAGAGCCCGCACTAAGCCCTGCCAGGCAGGTAGCACCTCTGTCTGTGAGCCCCAGGCATGGCAGGTGGCATACAGACTGGATGCTGTTCTGGGCCCCAGCCCGTGCCTAGCAGGAGATCTGGGCAGAGGCTGAGCCAGACGATGACGCTGGAGGCCAGAGCCCAGGAGCCTCCTCGTGCTCCTGCCACTGCGCCACGTTCCCAGCCTGGTGCCCCTGGAGCACCTGGGCTCCCTCTGGCCTTGATGCGCATGGGTGAGGCCCATGCTCAGAGGATCCCTGGCTGCCTTCCCAGAGCTCGGGGCAGAAAGGGACATGTGGCCCAGGGTGGCAGAAGGACAGAGCAGGTGCTTTGAAGTGGCTGCTGTCCCTCACCAAGCTCCCCACACCAATGGCTTTGTGAGTGGGTGGCATCTACCAGGCTCACACTGGCAGAGGAGCTGGCGAGACCCAGGCCCACTGTGGGCAGCCTGGATAGGCTAGAATGGCCGTGATGCCCTGGCTCTAGTGACTGGGCAGGATCTCCTCACCATGCTGTGAGGAACTTTCTGATCTGCTGTCCACCCTGCCCTGACACCAGGTCAACCTCACAGGCTTCCAACTCCCAGGCCTGGGTCAGGGCAGGCAGACTCCTGGCTCCTGGCTAGCTTCGCACCATGCCGGAGTGTGCCCGCCTCTGTGTAGCACTGGTGCTGAGTTAGAGAGTCGCTCACTTCCTGGGCACCAAGGGCACACGTGGCTGGTGTGACCGGCAAAGGCTGGGTGGTCTGAGGAGCAGCACATCCACAGGACAATGGAATCCAGAACCCGCTGTGTCTGTGAAGGCCGCAGAAGCAGCCCAGGCCCTTGCAAAACACAAGCATGCATTACTGGGATTCCAGAGCGCTGGGCCAGAGCTCTGGGCTGGGCCGGGCTGGGTGTCAGTGCTGTGCTCCAGGACAGCAGCAGCCAAAGGCAGGCGACCGTGAAAGGCCTGAGGGAGGAGGTGTCGGGGGCCTCATCGGTGGATGGAGGGGGCTCCATGACAAGTCACCCCCAATCCCACCCCCAAGGCCACTGTCAGCCTGGTCTTGGGTCCCCCAGTATGCACTTCGGGGGCAGAAGGACACTCAGGCCACAGCAACCGCGTGTGAGGTGGAGGGAAGACTGTGGCGCCGTGAGCCTGCCCGGCCCAGGACGTTGGTGCAGCCGGGGCAGAGAAGACCCCAGAAAGGGGGGGGTGAGCCCCAAAGGTGGTACTTCTGCCCGGGAGGCGCGTGCAGCCTGATTGGAAGAGATGTCTTTGCAGGCACAACAAGAATCACACCGTGGGCTGGGTGGTGGCCCATGCCTGCACCCAGGGCTCCGGGGGCTGAGGCAGAAGGAAGCCAGCCTGGGCTACACAGTGAGATCCTGTCGCCAAAAACAAAAACAAAAAACTAGAAAAAGAATCATGAGATCGTCCTGGGCTAGGGCGGCCTGATCACCAAGAGACGTGCCCTTGTGAGAGATAGAAGGGGCCGCAGGGAGGAGAGGAGCCCGTGGATGCAGAGCTGGGGCCGCTGAGGGAGACAGCCCGGCTATACCCCGCTGAGAACTTGGATGTCGCCTCAGGGACGGGGTGGGCATGGGTCTGCCTTGTGCCACCACCCCAGGGTGCGGCCTCTCAGCAGCCCTAGAGGGGACAGCACAAAACAGCGGGAACTGGACACTGCTGAGCCAGGAGTCTGTGCCCCACACCCTGACTGCAGGGTGTCCCTGGACAGAAGCCTCTGCACAGCCAGGAGGGAGCCAGGATGGGACAAGACTGGGGCTCTCAGAATCCTTTTGCCACCTCATCCCACAGCAAGGCCAGGTGCTGGGCCCACTCTTGGGAGCCAGAGCCATATGGATCCTGGGCGAGGCTCGTGCATGGTGCAGGCCCAGCGCACAGGCATTGGAGCTAGCCAAGGACAAGCCCCACCACACCTTCCTGTGACAGAGCTGGCACAAGATGGTGACAGAGCTGGCAGCTGCCAGCAAGTGCACCAGGAATGCTGTGTGGTCAGGCGCCCCGTGCTGAGATGGGTGGCATCGGGCCATTTCCTGGGTGCACTGTGTCACCAGGATGATGCACGGGCCTTGTGGGTGGGAAGGACCGTTTCCTGTGCCTAGCAGTCCCACACCCCAGGGACCTCGAGGCCCCCAGGACAGGAAGTAGCAGTGGTGATGCTGACAGGGGCTGGGGCAGCTGAGCAGGCGCAGGGCCCAGGGCAGGAAGAAGCCCTGCGTCCACTCTGCAGCTTGCAAGAGGTCTGGACACAGTGGGGAAGCCGTGCTCTTGTCACTTAAGTGTGCACTCATGCATGTGTGTACATGTGTGTGCACGGGTGCGCATGTGCGCACACATGTGTTCCCACTCCCCAGCCCCTTCCCTCCCTGTCTGGAGTCCGGCAGAGGCTGGCAGGAGCCCGTCAGTGTGGGTTGGGCCTGGGCAGGCCCTGAGGAGGCTCCCAAGGGGGCCCGGGTGCAGCCGCAGAACCTCTAACTCTCCCTGGCCCCACCATCCTCGGGGGTCTGGGGCCACAGGGCTCTGTCCCTGGGAGGCCCCCACCCACGCCCGCACCTGCCTGACCATCGTCTGCCTCCCCTGACCCCAGGCTCTCTCACCCAGGGGAGCCCGGCCAGAGACCCTGAAACTGCACCATGCACGAGCCTTGCCCAGGACAGAGGTCAAGGACTGAATGACGGAGGCATCAGGAAAACAAAGTTTGGTCTCCTGCCAGGTAAGCGAGTCATGGCCGCCTCACCCCTCAAACAGTCACTGTGGCCCATAGCATGAGTGATCACAGTCAGGTGACTGCAGGTGAGGCGGCTGTGCTGACCACCAGCAGGGCTGGGCCCGGCTGGAGATGCTGCCAGATCCAGGTGCTTGCCTGGAATGCCTGGCTTGGGCGGCTTCTCTGCTCTCCTGGAACACGGAAGGAGGTGCCCCAGGCCTGACTGTCTCTCTTTGCTCTAAGGCCCCTCTGCACACTGCAGACAGCCCTCTGTGCAGGGAAGAGCAGGGACCCTGTCCCCAGGGCCTGGCAAGATGGGAGGGAGCAGCTCCACCTAAACTCGGCCTCTCAGCCCGAGCACCCGCTCCGGCCTCCCTCTCTTCAGGGATGTTCAGGGGCTTCCAGGCCAGTGTGGGGCCCAGGCACCTCCACTGTCCAGCGGCACATGGCTGGGCCCATGGCAGCTACCGTCGGGTTGGTGACGGCCTTTGGGGACAAGGAGGTAGCCTGCAGCCCAAAGCCCACTGTCCTTGGCCTACTCTAGGGGTCTGGCTGGGGACTTGGGGGACAGAGCTGGCGCCCCAGCTGCGCTACCCCCGGGGGAGGCCTGCCAGCTCCTTGGTCCAGGCCGATGCCTCTCTTGCCTGCTGCCACGCTTCCAGGGCAGAGCAGACGGGGCAGGGCCTCGGCCCTGTTTATCTCCTACTTATTTCTTGGCCTCTTGAAGCTGCTGTGCTGTGGGCTGCGTCTGCCTGAGGTCTGGCTCACCCTCTGGTGGCCTCAGGCGGCTCCTGGTGGGCCAGGCCAGGCCAGGGAGGAGCTGGAAAGGAATGCAGCCACTTCCGGCTCCCAGCACAGGAAGCAGCAGGCTCCAGGGCTGGGGTCTCCTGACTGCACCAGGATTGGCGAGGGCTGGGCAGAACCAGAAGTGACACACAGCAGGCCAGCCGCCAGGGGCCCACACTGGCCAGGGAGAGGAGGACACAGCGAACGTGGGGCATAGGGCCCTGGTGGGCAGCGGGCACTCGCCCTGCCTTTCTTGAAGCACCCACTTCCCCAGGCAGGCCAAGGCTGGAAGGGTCTTTGTGAGACCCCCAGTGCGGTTGCGGTGATGGGGCAGGCAGGGGGTCCCCTGTGACCTACATCAGGCCCCATGCTGGGCAGAAGCATGCACCCCACAACCTGCACCCCATGACCAGGGTCACAGGGAGGGGCACCTGCCCAGCAAGTTCGGGGCGGGAGGGGGGCGGGGGGGTTGGGCTGCAGGTGCAGGTGGTCCATAGAAGCCCCCAAGGTGGGGGCAGGCAGCCCAGCCCAGAGGCCCCTCCTCTGCCCCCTCCCCTGCGCGCCCCGCCCCAGGCTTGGATGTGGCGGCAGCTGCAGTGGCGCCCACCTCTGCCTCGCCCTCCCCTCCACGAGGGCGGTGGTGACATCACGGTGGCGGCGGGAGGGGCCTGGGCGCCCCGCGCACATCACTTCCTCAGCTCCTCCCGCGGTCGTGGCCGCGCAGCTCGGACCGGCGCGACGGACCGCAGCGAGGGCGAGGGGCGGCGCTCTCTGCTCCCCCATGGCGGGCCCGGCCCCGCCCGCGGCTGAGGAGCTCGCGGGCCCCGCCGCCAGGCGCCTCTACTCCAGGTAGGAGGGGGACAGTCCAGCGGAGACGGTGGGGGTGGCCGGCCCAGAACAAAGGCGGTGGCACAGTGGTGGCGCGCAGCGTGACCAGGACGCGGCTCCCGCAGGCGCGGCGGGCGAGCAGCACACAGGCTCTGCCCTCGGCCCCTTCCAGAGCAATTTGAAGGGGACGCGGCTCCTCCTGGCTCTGCTGGCCACGGGGCCTGGCACAGAACAGGGCGTGTTGCCCAGAGGCCCCTCTCTAGCCTGGCACTGCTGGGACCCCAGGCAGGGGCGGTGTGGCTGTAGTCACAGCTGGGGCTCTCCCCCTTGGCAGCCACCAGGGGCCCAGGCCAGCAGGACCGGGACAGGAGCCTCCACCAGGTGGGCGTGTACCTGCCGGCAAAGGCACCTGTGTTCCCGCAGACCACAGGTGACCTGGTGGCTGGGGATGTCAGCGCAGCTCTGCTTAGGTGACACCTGCCTGCCTGTGACTCCCATGGAGGGTGCTCCCCGAGGTGGTCCCTGAGATGGCTGCAGCACCTCTTTCCCTGAGTGGACCGGGCGCTGCCAGTTTGTTCAAACCTCAGGCAGGCGGAGCCAAGCGGGCCTGAGGGCTGGTGAGTGATCCTCAGTGACCACTCCGGGCAGAGGCTGAGGCGGGCCATTCTCTGCCATGGCCCCGTGGCCCTGACTCAGGAACTACTGCTCCCTTCCCTCTGGCCACCCCAAGGCCTGGGGGCTTCCCCAGCCCTGCTGTCCCAACACACCAATGAGGCTCGTGTCCCCACCATGCTCTGCCCCATGCCAGAGACACAACCCCCATTGTGTGGACTCAGGGTCAGAGCTGGGCTGAGCAGAGGAGGGGCTGGAGACTGGAGGTTCCCAGGAGTACCCCGCTGGATGGGGGCTTCGCAAATGGCATTTACTGAAGGGTTGGCCAGCTGTGCAGGACAGGGGCAGCTGAGCCCCTGAGAGTCTCAGGCTGGCCAACAGCCTGTAAGCCATCCGCAGGGCCCGGGGCCCTGGGGGCCTACGGGGATGTGCCAGGCAAGCCCACCTCAGGGAGCCTTCTCAGGCAGGACAGCGCATGAAGGACACTTGGAGAGGCTCTGGGCTGGCCTGGCATCCCCTAAGCCCAAAGAGCAGAGCCAGGCCCAGATTCCAGGAGCCTCTAAGGAGGGCACCTGCACCTCACCTCTGGTCCCAGTGGGCTGGCAGTCCACTCCTGGACAGAACTGGCTTCGGCAGCTGGGCAGATACAGAGGGTACAGAGTGGCCAGGAGTGGCCAGGGGCGGTGGGTAGGGTCGCCTGGCATCAGATCCAGCAGGGTCCCTGGGGCAGGAAAGCAAGATATCCATGTGTCTGTCACCTGTCCCTTTCCAACACCAAAGTCAGCTATGACACAGGAGCCAGTCCTGTAGCCTTTGGGCTCATGAGACCCGGGGGACAGGGTGTCCTGCACCTTCTGGGAGACCCATACCACAGCCTCACCTGGAGGGGCTTTGATTCGAGCATCTGTGCCCGAACAGCACTCTGAGATGGGCAGGGATGCCTTGTGAGCCTCCAAGGACCCACACAGATTCCCATCTGGGCTGGAGGGGACTGGGGAGCCAGAAGCAGCGGGGCCAGGGTGGGGTCAGCACAGGCCCCTGGCTCAGCAGGGCCTTGGGATGGGGGCCTGAGTGGCAGGGCCTGGCTTCTTCGCCTAGCCTCCCAGACCGGTGGGCCAGCAGCCAAGCACCCTACCAGCCTGGCAAGAGACCAGCTCTGTTGGAAGGAACCAGGGGCTCCCCATGGACCCGCACCACATTCTCCCTCTGAACCCACCTGGGCCAGCCCCTGACGGCTCCCTGCCAAGTGCCTCCCAGACTCTGTCTCCTGGCCCAGGCTCTCCCCAGGACTGGTGACCCTTAGGTCTGTCCCCGCCAGCGACTCCTGCTTCCACCACGCTGCCTTCCCTGCCCTTGGTATTGAAGGGGTCTTTGGTGCGCTCTGTGGGGTGACTGTGAATGGGGTCTTAAGAGTTTACCCTGCTCCTGTACTTCAGAGAGGGCAGGTGAGGACTCAGACCCAGGGACCAGCAGATGACCCAGCCAGGCATGGACGCTGTGGAGCCAAAGGGTCTGAAGACCTCACAAGTGTTGGCGGGTAGGGGGCTATGGGATGATGGCTCCCCAGGGACAGTGCTGCTACCAGGCCTGGTGGTGGGCACACAGGATGTGGTGGTCACAGCAGCCACACTGGCCACTCCACTGACCTAGACCCTGGCAGGCAGCCACGGAACCTTGGCATACGGCGCCCTGGATCCTGGCCACTGTGGTCTAGCACTGGCCACCTTTTGTGGAGAGAGGCGCAGGAAGCCATCCTGCCAGGGGCCGGGGGAGTAGATCTGGGTCAGGACCCTGGGGTGCGGCAGTCAGGCTGGACTGATTCCTCTCAGGGACAGGGTCTTTCTCCTTCTGGGAAGCAGGGAGACAGTTGCTGCCTAGTAGCTGAGCAGTGCCTCAGCTTACCAAGGCAGCAAATCCCAGGCAAGGAATTGGGGTCACACGCCTGGGGTGGGGGCTTCGCAAGTGGCATTTACTGAGGGGCCGGCGAGCTGTGCAGGACAGGGGGCAGCTGAGCCTCTGAAACAGCCTCAGGCTGACCACAGCCAACACCCTATGAGCCATCCACAGAACACAGGGCCGTGGGGGCCTACGGGGATGTGCCAGGCAAGCCCACCTCAGGGAGCCTTCTCAGGCGGGACAGCACATGGAGGACACTTGGAGAGGCCCTGGGCTGGCCTGGCATCCCCTGAGTCCAAAGAGCAGAGCCAGGCCCAGATTCCGGGAGCTCTAAGGAGGGTGCCTGCGTCTCGCCTCTGGTCCCAGTGGACCTGAGAGTGGGCTTTCTGAGTACCCTAGGGGTGTCCAGGCCTTCCCAGAGCTTCAGATCACCCAGCCCAGGCAGCTGCAATCTCTTGGGATGCCTGGTGCACTTGGGCACCTTGACAGGTGACCCGTGGGGCAAAGCCACCAAGGCCACAGTGTGCTGTGGAGGGACAGGGAGGACAGGGTGACCTGCAGAGCTAGCCAGGGTCTAGCCAGGAGGAGGTAGCTCAGGCCTTGCCCTATCCTGACCGAGCTGTCCCAGAGTACACTGTGGGCCAGCCTGAACAGGAGCAGGGAGTGCCAGGGACTGCAGCATTTGGGGTACTGCTACAAGTCCCCAAGCTGGCCTCTGGCTGCAGTGCCCTCCCCACCATCCTGCTGGCTCTGAGCCTGCCCCCCTCACTTAGCTGCTCAGCCTTGAAGACCCACCCCAGCTTCTTGGTGGCCCTGGGTACGTGAGCTGGGGGCCCTGAAGCTGGACCCAGTGTATCCTGTTGCCCTGGGGCATCCTGCCCAGGCTCTGGAGGGCTCCACGCTCAGCTTCCTTGGGCTGTCAAGCAGGGGAGCTGAGGAGGAGAGCAGGGCTCTGGGTGTTTGGGGATAGTCTCACTGGTCAGGGGCGGCCTGGGCTAACCCACGAGACCTACACGCTGGCTACCGGGCTGGTGCTCACCTTGGCTGGCCAGGCAGGAGGCGGTGTCGCGGGCTCTGTGTCCTGTGTCAGTGCAGCCTGCTCTGTGCCAGAGCTGTCCTGGGGCCAGCTGGGCTGCAGCAGTCGAGCCAGGCTGGGCCAGGTGAGCGGTGTACTGGACATGGGGTCCAGAGAGGACAGGAGGGGCCAGGTGCCAAGCCCACCCAGAACCCAGCTTTTCTGTCCCTGCTCAGGCTCCAGTGTGCCAGGCAGGTACAGCAGGGGGTACTCCGCACCCTGTGGGCAGCCTGGCCTCCCAAGGACTGGGCCCAGGCACAGAGCTGGCAGCAGGGCTGGACACATAAAAGCATCCCAAGGCATTGGCAGTAATGCAGGGTGGGCAGTGGCCTACACAGGAGGGAGAGGATTATGCACCAGCCCCTGCCCCGCCTCCGTCCGTGTCATGGGCCTCTGCACCTCTGTGCTGCCCTTGATCCCTTAATCCGGGTCAGGCAGGGGACGGTGGCCCCAGAGCGCCTGTCCCAGGTCTTCCAGAACCGAGGCTGCTGAGTCTTCAGCCCTCCTCCTGGGTCTGGAGGACTGGGGATCCTAAGGCTGCAGGAGAGAAGCTGCAGCCCACTGCTGCCAGCCTTGGCCATGGCGGGCCAGCCGCCAGCCCTGAGCTTGGCGGAGAAGGCCGTGTGCAAGGTGGTGTACGGCGCCCCCCGGCCGCGGCCGCTGCTGCTGCCTGTGGGCCTGGAGCTCTGGCTGTATGTGCAGAAGATGAGGAACGTGCGGAGGAAGAGGTGGGCCAGCCCGGCGGGCAGTGGAGGCTGCTCTAGCGCCTCGGGAGGGCTCCTGGCCTGGACACCTGCACGGCTCCCTGGCCAGCAAGGCCCCTGCACTCCTTCCTGAGCCCCTGGCCCAGGCCCTTCCCAGAGCACAAGGCTCCTTTTTCTGAGTCCACACATTGTCCCCAACCACACCACGTCCTCGAAGGACAGTGGCAAGGAGGCATGTGCACTGTCTATAGGCAGTTGGGCAGGGACAAACAGGCTTTAATTAAGAAAGCTGTTCATGGCCCTGGCCATCAGAGTGGGGCTATATTGTGGCTGGTTGCCATGGTGACCATGGGCTCTCTTACCCATGTGGCATCCAGACAACACTCCCCAGAGAAGGCCTCGTGGGGAAGGTGGCTACAGGCGAAGAGGCCTCACCCCTGACCGCCACACCCCAGGAGCTCTGCTAGCCTCTAGGGAATCAGAGGTGGTGGGATCCCCAGCCCCCTCCACAGTGTCCACTGTGGAGGCGAGGAGCCTGCTGCCCGCAAGCCAGGGACGCTGAGCTATGACAGTGCCCATGTGTGCTGTCTGCCTGAGGCTCTGCAGTCCTGGTGGGCAGTGCCCGGCCATGTGCCTGGGTGGATGCCATCCCCACTGCCTCTGGCAGGAAGGCCAGACAGACACCTATGGCCATAGGAGGTGCCACCCCGAGCAGGACCCAGCTGGCACTGCATAGGCAGTGGCCAATGGCCCAGGTCCTTGGTGCGGGGTGTCGCGCTCCCAGCACCCCCAGTCCAGACCTGCCTTAACCTGAGCAGGGTTACTGCCCTCCCCCAGGAAGAGCTGCTCAGCTCCACAGCCCTGCTCTGAGGAGGGCTCCACAACTGCATGCAGGGAGCCCTGAGGTTGCAGGCTGTGGAGGTGACACTGCCAGGAAAGGACAAGGTGTAGGTCCCCAGGCCAGCAGGCCCCAAGGAGGAAGGGCTTGGCTCACAGAGCCTCCATCCAGGGCAGTGGCACTGAGGTCTGTGGCACCCACAGGACCGTGGGTGGGCTTGGGGGCAGACGTTGGGCTGGCCACAGAGGGGCTGGCTCAGCTCGGGACACGCTGCTGTCCTTTCCTTCATGAGTTCTTTCCAGGCAGTGCAGCAGCCACCGCTTCTCAGCCCGTGGGGAGGGGAACCTTGCTTAGGCAGGCCACCCCACCCAGCAAAACTCCCTGGCGGGCAGGCAGCTGCTTAGAGGGTGGGGTCCTGCCCAGGATCAGATCCTGCCCTGTGACCCTGGGCCTTCCTTGGTGGGTGGTGGAGAATCCAGACCAGGGTGCCACAGCACACAGAGTGGCAGCCCCTCAGCCTGTGCCGCCCGATATAGAGGAAGGGCATGGGGTGGTAGGTAGCTCCTGCCCCAGGCTTGGCCAAAATTGAGTGTGGCGTGGCGGCCAAAGGGCTCCTGTGGTCCCGACTAGTGCCTCTGTCCAGTGCACTGGCCCTGGTGGCAGCGGCAGAGGTGAGCTGTGTGCAGTGCCTGCCAGGGTGCAGGTGATGGCCCAGACCCATGGTGCAGCATGGAAGGCGACCAGGTGGGCTGGGCGTGACTCCCGTCTCCCCCAGGATGGAGGCCTCATGCCTGGAGCTGGCTCTGGAGGGCGAGCGGCTGTGCAAGGCGGGGGACTTCAAGGCAGGCGTGGCCTTCTTTGAGGCGGCAGTGCAGGTGGGCACAGAGGACCTGAAGACGCTGAGCGCCATCTACAGCCAGCTGGGCAATGCCTACTTCTACCTGAAGGAGTACGGCCGCGCCCTGCAGTTCCACAGACATGACCTGCTGCTGGCCCGGTGAGCACCAGGGCACGGCCCATCCCGGGAGTGGACAGCCAGAAGGCCAAATGGCTGGCTGCCCGGCCCAGAGAGCTAGGGCTAGGATTGGGAGGGCACTGGTGGCCAAGTCAAGCCAGCTGTGTCTGTCCCTGGGAGTGTGGACATGGCCAGGGCTCTGTGTCTGTCTGCCCCATCCATCTGTCTGTCTCACCCACCCCTTCCATGTCTGGGACTCTGGCTCATTTCTTATTTCCCTTTCGCTCTACAGTGGTGTGGCCAGCCCCCACCCCCAGCACAAGCTCTGCAGGCCTACAGCCTTCCTCCCACACTTTCCACTCCCTGGCCCCACCCTTAGGCTCCCCAGGGGCTCCTCGCCCTGTGCCCTGTCCCTTCCCTGCCTCCTGTCATGACCTCCAGCCTGTCCTCAGCACTGGACCTGGGGTCTGCAGTCTCACTGCTTAAGTTATGGGGCTAACACTGGGCAGGGGGCTTGCCCCAGCCTGGCCCAGCAGAGGAAGTGGCCCTGAGCCAGGCACTCTAGCCCGCGGCTGCCCTCAGCCCAGGCCCACCTGTGCCTGAGGCCCCCTACTCAGTGTTGCCCAGGGGATGGATAGGCCCCAGCTTGGCCCCTAACTCCTTCCTGCCCTCCAGGACCATTGGAGACCGCATGGGGGAGGCCAAGGCCAGTGGGAACCTGGGCAACACACTCAAGGTCCTGGGCAGATTCGACGAGGCTGTGGTCTGCTGCCAGCGGCATCTGGACATTGCCCAGGAACAGGGAGACAAGGTAGGCTGTCGGAGGGGGCAGAAAGCACGGCGGCCATCCCCACCACCTTGGCTGCCTGCCCTTCCCACCCTGCCCTGGCTGTGTCCAGATCGAGCCCCCAGCTGGTGGGAAGACAGGGTGACCCCAGCGACAGGAGTCCCAGGCCTTGCAGGGCTGGGTCCTGGCTGTCCAAACTGCCCACCGCATGTCCTCACTCCCTCGGCCTCTCAGGGTCCAGGGCAGAAAGTCTGCGGGTTTCAGAGGCCTGCTGGGCGGGTGCCCCGTCCTTAGGGTTAGGAACAGAGCTGAGGGCCTGGACACCTCCACCACCCCAGCAGGCAGTGGGCAAGGGGAGGGGCTAGGCTTCCCGTCCCCTCCTCGGCCCAGGACAGCAGCCCAGGGGATAGGCACACGGGCGCGTGGGGGAACCTCGAGGCACACGCATGCCGCCCACAGGTCGGGGAGGCCAGGGCGCTGTACAACATGGGCAACGTGTACCACGCCAAGGGCAAGCAGCTGTGCTGGAACTCGGCTCAAGACCCAGGGCTCCTGCCGCCCGACGTGCGCGAGACGCTGCGCAGGGCCTCTGAGTTTTACGAGTAAGCGGGCGCTGTGCGCAGATGGGGCCCGGCAGAGCTGGGCGGGTCATGGCAATGGGCGGCAGCCGCAGGCACAGGGACCCCCACGCAGCCAAACCCTTGCTCCCCACCCAGTCGCACCTGTCAGGCGTCACCAAAGCCCAGCCACCCAGTCCAGAGCCCGGGAGCCCGTCCAGCCGCCCCCTTTCCGTTCCCTCTGGAGACTGCAGCGCCTGCACCCTCCGTGGGGTGGGGGCGGGGCTGCGCGGGTGGAGGGGCGGGGCTCACGCAGGTCTGCCCCCAGGAGGAACCTGTGCTTGGTGAAGGAGTTGGGCGACCGTGCGGCGCAGGGCCGCGCTTACGGCAACCTGGGCAACACCCAGTATCTGCTGGGCAACTTCACAGAGGCCACGACCTTCCACAGAGAGGTGTGCACGTGCAGGCTTGCCCTCGGGTGGGCTGCATCGGGGTCGGGCCCCGCTGGCTCTAGTGGCCCGGAAGGGGTGGGGACCCGCCTGCCTGTTTCACCTGCGCTGGATGCTGGGGCTCCTGTCTGCCCCCCAATACTCAGTCATGGGGTAGGCGCCTGGGCAGAGGACAGCACGTGCCTGTCCTGCCAGGGCCCAGGGCTGCTCGGTGACCCCAGCTTGGGCTCTCTCTGCAGCGCCTGGCTATTGCTAAGGAGTTTGGTGATAAGGCGGCTGAGAGGAGGGCCTACAGCAACCTGGGCAATGCGCACATCTTCCTGGGGTGCTTTGACGTGGCTGCGGAGTACTACAAGTAGGCGGCCCCCAGGCTCCTGGTGGGGGCAGGAAGGGGAGGAACAGGGCTCCCCCAGAGCCAAGGGGGGCTCTCCACTGCCCTGGGAAGGCCAGACAGGTGCAATTTGTAGGCATCCCCAGCTTGTGTAATTCACTGGCCCTCCTGCCCATGGAGCAGGGCTGTCGGGACCAGGCCCTGAGTGGTGGGCTGGCCATCCTGGGCACACAAACCCCAAGCCCCCCACCCCTGCACAGCAGGACGCTAGGGCTCCATGTCTGTAGGGACCCAGGTGCTTCCGCCTTGGCCACTGGAGGATGAGGACACAGAGAGACCCCAGGGTGGGTCCTGGACCTGCAAGGCCCCCTCCCCCACGCACCTCGCCCGCACCTGGCCTCACGTGGAAGGGACCAGGAACCCTCCCTGTGTCCGCCTGGGCTGATCCTCTGCCCACCCTGCAGGAAGACGCTGCAGCTGTCACGACAGCTGAGGGACCAGGCGGTGGAGGCGCAGGCCTGCTACAGCCTGGGCAACACCTACACCCTGCTGCGGGACTACGAGCGCGCCGCTGAGTTCCACCTGCGGCACCTGCTCATCGCCCAGGAACTGGCCGACAGGTGCGGGCCTCCGACCCACTACCACCGGGCGTGAAAGGAGCGCAAGGACCCCGCGTCGCTCCCGTGCCATGAACTTCACCCTGGGGAACCATGAGGGACCGGGTCAGGGGCGGGGCTGAGTGCTCACAGCCCCTGGGGCCATGGAAATGTCCCGGAGGGGTAGAGATGGCAGTCCACAGCGTGTGGCAACATGAATGCCACGGAGTCCTCCCTGCGCAGTGGCTAAGCCCCGGGTGAGGGTTCCGCTGCGCAGGAAAACCCGTGGCCTAGGGGCCTGCCTGTGGATCCCGGGCAGACAGAGCACGGGGCGATTGCTGCGCTGGCCACAAGGGGGCGAGCCAGGCCCCAGAGCTGAGCCACATCCCGTCCCCCATCCCCATCCCCCTGCCTTGGCCCTCCCGAGGGCGGAACCAGCTCCAAAGTAGCCTTTCTCACAGACAGGCTTTTCCAGGGTTTTGTTTGGGACTGTGTGTGCGTTACCGAGTACTGAACCCGAGCGAGGCCTTTGCACTGAGCTGCGTCCCCAGCCCTTCAATACCTTATATTTCCTTATTTAGTTTTATTACTATTTTATTTTTTGAACTGGGATCTCAATAAGATAAATTACTTAGGCTGGTGTCTAACTTGTGCTCAACTTGTCTCAGCCTCCCAGAGTACAGGTGTGCACACTGAGTCCTGCTGTGCTAATCGTTTGGCAGGGGTGGGATTCCTGCCCCCAGTCAGGGCTGCTTCCTGACGCTGGGAATTCGTGGGAGCCCTGGCCTGTGGGTGTAGTACATGGGCCGTGGCGCCCCCGACGTGCTGTCTGGCCACACTCTGGGCTGCTGGACTTGGTGACCTTTGGTGTCACCTGGGATCACATGGTGGAGGCTGCCCCCGACGGGCCCCCCTGGGGTGGTGGACAGGTCCACAGCACAGGTGCAGACCCTTCTCTCCCTACAGGGTGGGTGAGGGCCGGGCGTGCTGGAGTCTGGGGAACACGTACGTGTCCATGGGGAGCCCAGCACAGGCTCTGACTTTTGTCAAGAAGCACCTGCAGATCTCCCAGGAGGTGAGTGGCTGCCCCGCGTTGCGTTCCTGTCTGTCCCTCATCCTCCCCAAGAGCAGCGGGCAGCAGATGTCCCCCTGCTAGGGCATTAGGTTCTCTGGGTCCTTCTGTTGTTCCTGCCCCGACCCCATGGAACCAGGCCACAGGGGGAACAGGGCCCATCCAGACAGTCCCCCGCAATGCAGATACCCGGGTCTCTGCTGCCTGAGACTCTGAGCACTTCTGGGGTTGCCCACGGGCTGTCGGGGACACCCAGGGACAGACTGCTGCACTCAACCCTCAGTGCCAGCCCAGGCTGTCCAGCAGGTAGGGGCAGGGAGCCGGGGGCTGTCAGCCCATGTGGGGTCAGAGCACCCCACTCACCACTTGCTCACGGCAGATTGGGGACCGCAACGGGGAGCTGACAGCCCGCATGAATGTTGCGCAGCTGCAGTTGGCGCTAGGCCCGCTGAGCGGCCCGGCCGCCACAGAGAAGCCGGACCTGGCAGGCTATGAGGCCCAAGGTGAGTTCCCAGCAGAGCCCCAGGGTCCTGTTCCTCATGCCCCAAACTCAGCCTGGTCAGAGTCAGCTGTGTTAATTAGGTGCAGCTCAGCTGAGGCCCCAGCCTTCTGCCCGTGCCCTGGGTGGGGGTAGGGCAGGCGCGGGGCTGGGCTGGCTGCTCAGGAAGGAGAGCCCGTCAGGAGGCAGGGAGCTCCCTGGCCCTGGGCAAGCGCCCACAGCTGTGTCTGGTCCCCATTCAGAGACTCCTGCAGCTCTCAGGGCTCCCAGGAGGGGTGGGGTGAGGAGACAGCTGGGAGCCTGGAAGTGTTCTGGAGAGACATGAGGTGGCCACGGTGCAGGACACTTAGGTGGGCACCTTGTCAGCCCTGGGAGCTCAGGGGCCAGGAGAGATTAGAGGTGGGATGGCAGTGGGTGTTCCAGAGGCAGGGGCAGCACGAGGAAAGGGCCTGCTGAGGCCAGTCCCCACTGGCCCCTGACACTCAGGAGCTGTGGTCTCTTTGGGCCTCTCAGACCCAAATCCGGGTGGCACCAGGGCCAACCACAGGAAGAATGGGGAAGCCTCTGCTAGAGCACCCCTGGCCAGGGCCGCCCTGCAGGAGGCAGTGCCACATACAGCTCGGTCAGGGGCCTGGCTAGTGTGCTCAGCGGGCAAATCAGATAGGCGGGGCAGCGGCAGCAACCTCGTTCACAGGCTGCTGGCCGTCTGCCAAGTCAGCGACCGGCTCGCCCAAGGACAGAGTGTTTCCCACAAAGTGTGCAGATTAATTTATGTGCACGCTGGCAAGGAGTGCCATGCTGAGCTAGGGGTGGGTGAGCAGGGTCCCCTGAGGCTGTGTTTTAGCCTCCAGAGCCCTGGCGAAGGCTCTGTGCACCCTGAGGGGTTTCCCTCCACCACCCTTCCTGCACTGGGCAGGGTGCTGAGAGCAGAGAGGGAGGCCGGCCCATCCCGGGCACTTCCACTGGGCATGGCCATGTGGACGGGACTGGGCACTGGGTGGGGTGCATCGCCCCTCGCCTGCCCACCCCCGGGTGTAGTGTCTGTCCAAGGCTGAGGCTCTCTGCCCAGTGCCCTGGCTCAGGTCTGCCCATGTCTCGCAGTCAGCCACAGCCACTGGAGGCCGGGCAGTGGGTGAGGGCAGGCTGGCAGCTCCTGGAATGGCTCCCATCCTCCCCATCCATGCAGGAAAGGGGCGTCATGGGTGAGCAGCCGAGGACAAGACCTCTTCTGTCCTCCTGCCCACCTTCCCGCTGTGCTCTGAGCCAGCACCAGGCCCTGCCCACCAGGGCCAGCAGAAGCCTCCTCCCACGGGGCAGTGCGGCAGGGCTGCTGGGCACTGGGCGGCATCTGTCCTCCCTGAGGACACCTCGGAGTTGCCAGTTGGCAGCCTCGCCCCTGGGTGTGAGGGTGTCCAGCTCCAGCATGCAGCTGCTGGGGACAGGCCTGGCCCCTGAGAGACTAGGTGGCTCTGACGGAGCCCCCTGTTCAGGTGAGCCATGAGGCAGAATCTGGGGTGCCAGGTGCTGGGTAACTTTCAGAGGGGCAGCGTCGTCTGTTCTGAAGCACTGGATGTTGGGTGGCCTGGGCCTTCTTTCCAGAAATTGTCTGGGGCTGCGGTGGGCAGCTACATAGCCAGAGCTAGTCAGTGTAGTTGGGGCATGGGGAGTGAGGTGGGCATCAGCAGTGTGGGGGTGGTTTTCCTGCAGCGGCATGGGGCCTCCCAGGGTTGAGCACCGCTTGCTTTTCCTAACAACCTTGCAATGGGCAGGGACCCCTGGACTTACCACCCAGCTCTGGGGCTACTTCACCCCACCAAACCATCGAGGTCTTGGGACCCCCAGAGCCTGGGAGCAGCTCTGGTTTCATGGGAAGAGGAAGCAAGCCAGGTCTCTCTTATGGGGCCGTCTGTCCTCTGTCTCTCTGTGCCCTGTGATGACGGCAGCGGCAAATGCGCCCGTCACCCGCAGGCCCTGCATGCCCAGCACCAATGGAGCGGAGAAGGCCTGAGGGTGGAAGCGGCCAATCCGGCCCTCACTGTATCTCTCTCTTTCCATGGACAAGGGAATAAAGACAGACTGAGCGCTGTAGGCAGGGCAGGGCCAGCTGCTGCAGGGTGAGAGGCAGTGAGCAGGGTCCAGTGAGGGTAGAAAGCCAGGGTTGCAGACTTGGGGGGCCCAGGGAGCTGCTCTTGCTGGCCAGGGTGGGTGTGCTGCCTTTGAGCAGGACACAGGAGCCCACCAGGGACAGAGATTCTGGCAGAGCCGGGGAGCTTTCCAGCCCTCCCTTGGGCAGGCGAGAGGGACAGGAAGCCAGTGGGAGGACCCCTGGGGCAGCTCAGCCTCTGAAACTGGCTGGTCGCTCCGGGGCCTGGTGGACTGCAGACAGAGGGTGCATTTAGCTCGGCCGGGAGCCTCCGCCCCACCTGTCCCAACACAGGGAGGAGGTTGCCAGAGCAGGGCTGGTGGAGAAGCGCAGAAGGGGCATGTCTGTTAGTGCAATGCATAGGGTCTCTGCCTGCTCGGGGTGTGAGACAGTGGGGTCCCACTGGGTGTGGTCAGTGTAGGCTCTCAGCTCCTGGGCAGACTTGTCCTGTGTCCTGTGGGGTCCCCAAGCTCCAGGTGGCTTAGGGATGACTGACTCTGAACCAGGGACTAGGATGCCCCTCAGAACCCCTTCCCATCCTATTCCCTTGAGCACAAGGCTGCACACCTTGGCAGGGTATGCCGGGGCGGAAGGCGAGGGAGGGCTCTTGGAAGGGAGGCGGCAGGTGGTCGGCTGTGTCCCGGATGCTCCAGGCCATGTTGGTGCATGCAGAGGCGCCTGGCCACCTCCTAGACAGACCCCTCCGTTGTGGCCCCCACTGTCCTCTGAAACAAGGTCTTATTGGCCACAGGAGAGCAGGGCTGAGCAGTGGCTTTGTCACAGCCACAAGAGGGACAGGGAGGGTAGACGACACCCTCCAGTCCCCACACCACTGCCTGTCCATGCCCCCGTCCCTGCCACTTGTACTTACTGCCTGCCTCTTAGGATGCCCTGGGCACTCATTTTGGGCTGTTCTGGGCCAACAGCTGGGCAGGAGGGTTCTGGCTGGCCTTGCCAGGATGGGCAGTGCCAGGCGTGGTGCCCAGTGTCCTGGCGCCGGTGGGCTCACCACCCTTTCCTGCACTCACTGCCCACCCACCTGCCTGCATCCCTCATGTGTCTAGATAGATGGCGGCTTAGCCCCGTGGAGGACAGGTTGAAGGCACATGGGTCCCCATGGGCCAGCCCTGAGGGCAATGCAGAGGCTGGGGTCTGGAGTTGCCTGCCCCCTCCACACCTGTGCCTAGCAGGAGTGTGTGCCCCCTTCCATGTGGCTGGCTGGGTACCTGTGGTCTTGGTTCTTCCAAGAGTCTGGGCTGTGTGTGGGGACCCTGCCAGGCTGGCTGGTCTCAGACCCTGTGCCCTGCTCCAGATGTGTGGGCAGCGCTGGTACTGGGGCCCAGGACAGAGCTGCACCTGCCCCAGCTGGGGACAGTTGTGGGTGAAGGTCAGGGCTGTGTATCTACGGGACCTTCAGTAGCTCTAGCACTGGACATGCATCTAGTCGGTCTCTGGCCAGGTGCCTACCCCCGACCCCCGGGGCTGAGGACATGAAGTCCTATGATTAGGGACAGGCCCCAAAAAGTTGAGGGTGGCTCTGCCCCACCTTGCCCGCCACAGCTGCCGAGTGGCTGAGCACCCAGTGTCCACTTGCTGCAGGCCACGTCCCGAGGAGGGCCCCGCATGGCTGAGCCAGCCTTGGTCCCCTCTGTCCTGGGAGCTGTTAGGTGGGGGGCCTGGGACGTGGCCTGGAAGAGAGCCCTGAGTTTCAGGTGCCCCCACAGCTGCCAGCCCTCCAGAGACACAGCGCTCCCTGCAGTGGGGGCTGGGAGTCGGGAGAGCGCTCGCTGGCCCCAGGACCCTGCCTGGGCCCCAGGCTCAGGCTAACACTGGTGTCAGGGCAGCACTGTCTTCCAGGGGCCAGACCCAAGAGGACACAGAGGCTGAGCGTGGAGGCCTGGGACCTGCTGCGGCTGCCCCCAGAGCGGGTGAGTGGGTGCGGGTGGATGGGAGGGACAGGTCCAGCCGTGGCGGGAGGCTGATGGCCCTGGGGCGACTGTTTGCTGCGCTCTCAGCCTGGCCCGGCCCTGTCTGCTGGGAAACAGATGTACCCTAAGTCACTGAAGGTCTGGCCTACCTAGCCCCCATCACCCGCCCTCCTGCTTGCTATTGCTGTGGGGCAGGCTGTTCCTGCCCAGCACCAGCCCCACGGGTGCCTGCTCGCTCTCTGCCCACTCGGCCCTGGCCAGAGAGGAGAGAGCTCAGCTGGCAAGGAGGCCAGCAGGGCAGGGCAAGCCCCGGGCACACAGGTTTGGAAAGCAGCGTGGTGCTGTGCAGCCCTGAGCAGGACCTGTGGTTCCCCTGCTGTGGCAGGGGTGGGTGGGTGTGGACAGGGCCCAGGACCCAGCATGCGCTTCAGCTGGTCACTGTTGTCACCCTGCACCCAAAACCCCACCCTTCCCCTCCTCCCCCAGTCCTGGGTGCCCTGGAGGAGTGGGCAGCACCCCCAGGCCATCCTGAGCTGGGGCGGTTGGCTACAATCACCCCTGCCCACACCTGGAATGCCCCCTCTCTCCAGGAGCAGAATGGAGACGTGTGCCAGGCTGGGGACTGGCGAGGGCCAGGCAGGGACGTGCTGCCCCTTCCTGTGAGGAGCCGGAAGTACCAGGAAGGGCCAGACGCCAGCGAGAGGAGGCCACGGGAGGGCAGCCATTCCCCCCTGGACAGTGCTGATGTGCGTGTGCAGGTGCCCCGGACGGTAGGTGCCCTGCGCTAAGACGGAAACAGACATAGTAGAGGCCAGGCGGACCTGGACACTCTGGGAAGGCAGAAGTTCCGGTGACTGCCTGGCCCTCTCGGGCCTCAGTTTCCCTCTTGTGGCTTTGCTCTCTGTCCCTGCCCCTTCCTCCTCCTCCTCCTCCCTGGGCCTCCAGACCCATCTAGGAGTCACAGAGTTCTGTTCCTGACAAGGGCTTGGCTGCCCCGGTTGAGGGAGCTGGTCCTCCCACCTTGGTGGCCCCCCAGGGTGTCCAGGTCCAGCCAGCAGGAATCCTAGCCCTGCGTGTCCCCACAGGAGGCCCTGGGAGCTGGGGCAGAGAGCACTCCCAGAAGAGAGATCAGGCCCAACTTGGGGTACTGGGGGCTACAGTTCTTGCTGGGCAGTGGTCTGTACGTGGCTCAGAGATACTCCTGGGGTTATGTGACGGACATGGCTGGGGCAGCAGTCCTTTGGTGGAGGACAGTAGGAAGCTGAGTCCACCCTGGGTTCTGCACAGTCTGGAGTGTTGGGTCCTCTGGTAGCTCTTCCTGGGGACAGTGTGTTGAGGCGGATGGGTGGGACTGATGGCCAGGTGTGTGGACGGAAGCATGGTGCCCCTGCAGGGACTGGGGAGCTGGTGGAGCTCAGGGGGCACAGAGGTGGGGTATAGCCGTGGAGGAGAGCTCAGAGACCCCATGTGTGGGTCCCCCGCATGGGGTCTCTGAGCTCCAACCCTCAGAAATTAGCCTAAAAATAGCCCCTTCCTGGGCCTAATCAGTGCCCCCGCCTGTGGAGGCCGTGGGCGCACTGGGTATTCTTAGTGCCTGCCTGCCTGCCTGCCTGCCTGCAGCCCCCTTCCCTCCAGCTCAGGGAGGCCGCCTCACCTTCCTCCCTGCTCTGCTCCCTTCATGGGAAGACAGCCAGGACCTGGGGACCAGCAGGCCTCTTGGGGGGCAGCCTGTGACTCACAGGAGCCCCAAGGGCCACTATCTCCACCACTGGGTCCCGCGTGGGGTTCAGGCCACACTATCAGTGCTGAGGGCTGCCACCTGGGAGAGAGCCAGGGTCACACTTGGGGTCCCCTCTGGGGGTGGGCTGCTCCCTCAGCTCACCTTGTAAGGAGCGCTAGGGCGGTGGGGCTGGGTAAGGCTTTTCAAGGAAGGCTGTCCTCCCCCGCTGCCTGCCGCCTGCCTGCCTCCCGGTGACGCCCACAACCGCGGGGGAGCGAGGGGCTCGGAGCCCAGGGAAGTGTTTACAGAGCAGCACGGGTGTGCGCGTGTGCGTGTGAGCACTCTGGTGTGTGTGTGATCCAGCAAAGGCGGCGCTGGGGGGCCGAGCCCTCGCCCTGGGGCCTATTTAAGCAGCCAGTGGAGGGAACACAGCCAGCGAGGCAGCGAGGCAGCGCCTGCACTCGGGGCAGGTGTTGGCAGCGGCGGCGGTGCTGGGCACCTTGGCGTCCTTTCCCAGGCTGCACTTGGCCAGGTGCCCTGCACAGCTCCCAGCTGCTGCTGCAGGAAGGCGTCCGTGGTCCCGCGTGAGTGGGGTCCCTCACCTAGGAGAGGCTGGGGGGCTCGGGGTCCTCTGCCTGCCCCAGTGGGCTGGACCCGACCAGTCGGTGCCGCTGTCCCACAGAGCTAGTCTTAAAGCAAGCAGTGGAGATTGGGCCAGACTGGAGGAGGGGCTCTGGGAACTTCAGACGAGGAGTCAGGGTTTGGGGACCTACGAGAGGCCGGTGCAGGTGGCCCCCCGGGGACCTGTGCAGGTGGCGCCCCGGGGTGCTTGCTCTCCGAGTTGTGCGGCGAGGGGGCCCCCTGCAGCCCCCGGAGCCAGGCTTTCTACTGGGGTCTCAGTCATCCCCTCACACACAGGAGAGGTGGCCCGGGGCTGTAGAGGGGTTGACGGGTCCAGGGACCTGGCAATGACACTGCTGTGACCTCTGGCCGCCCCCACAGGTGGGGCTGGGGGACCCTGGGGCAAACCCTGCTGGCCTTTGCATGCATCACTTCTGCCAGGGGAGGCTAGCACGGAGGTGAGGGTGCCCATCCTGCCTTTTCCAGAGTGGCCTGGTTGGGTCACCTGTGGAAGCTGGCTGAGTTGCTCCACCTGCTACGTCTGTCTGGGCCAAGGGCCCACAGCCCCTGCCCGGACTGTGCAGCCTGGGGCCACCCGCTACCCAGGTGTGGGTCCCAGGACCAGGCCCCACTGCAGTTCCGCTTCTCCTAGCCTGGATGACAGGCCCGGGGCAGTGGGGGAGGATGTACCAGCATGCCCCAGGCAGGAAGGCCCTCCTTCTCCTGCCCATACACCCTCAGCTGGTCCCCAACATCACCTTCAAGACCCAAACCCTGGACTAAGCCAGGACTGTCAGCAGGACCTGCTCTCCTGCCACTGTGTGACCTGGGGCAGGGCACAGCCTCGCTGGGCCTTGGTTTCTGGGCATAAGGCTGTGTCCTGCACGGGGGGACCGCAGGTGGAAGACACTTAAGGCCTTGTCCAGCATTCAGCTGGACACATTCTGCAGACCTGTCGTTTGGCTCTCCCCTGGCTCTAGGACCTTGAAGGCCTCCGTATCCCCATTGATGTAGGAGGTGAGGCCCGGGCTGGCTCACAGGCAGGAGCTGCATCAGGCTTCGTAGCCTTCCCCCGCCCCTCTCCTGGCCTTGGGAGGGCTCTCCCCCAGGACAGGTCAGCCCTGACCCAGGCTCCTGGCCCCGTCGTTAGCTCATTATTGTCCAGCAGGGCCAGAGAACTGAGCCCACCCCATGCCCCAAGGGAGGGCAGGATTGGTGCTGGACTTGACACCAGCATGGCAGCCAGGAAGGAGGCCTAGCACCTGAAGCTCCCTGCCCTGGGCACTTCTCTGGGTGAAGGGCCTCATTGATTTGGGGAGTTTCTGTCCCCCAAAATCTGCTCTCTAGCCACCCCTGGCTTACAAGAGAAGGGTCAGGGTGCTGGTGCCTCTCCTATATCCTGGAACTCTGGGCCCACTCACCTGTGCCCCCCAAGGCTTTGTACCCACTGCCCCAAACCTAGAGTGCAGCATGCCTGGGAGGGCTCCTTGACTTGGATGAGGCCACCTGCCCCTGCCACGCTGCCCACCACTGGCACCTTGTTAATGGCCACCCAGGCACCTCCTGCCATAACCTGCTCACATGTCCATCCATCCATCTGTCCATCCCCTGCCTGCATAGCTGTGCTGGGGGCCCAGACAGGTACATTTTGGTGCAGTGTGGACAGGAGCTGAAGAGCAGGGCACAGGAAGGACCAGAAGGACATAAGCTCCTCACGCGGGGCACAGGGTGGCCGGAAAGTGTGGCCAAGGAAGGGCGTGAGGACCGGCCCCAGCAGGGCAGAGCGGGACAGCAGCCTAGGGGAGGTGACCTGGTGTCGACGGCAGGCAGTAGGGGGTCCTGACCTCAGCTCGTGGCCAGCACACTAAGCCCGTGGTCGCCCCCACAGAGCATCCCTCGGGCCCCCTCTTCAGACGAAGAGTGCTTCTTTGAGCTGCTCAGCAAGTTCCAGAGCAGCCGCATGGACGAGCAGCGCTGCCCACTGGAGGAGGGCCCAGCAGGGGCTGCCGAGGCCACAGCTGCTGCCACACTGAAAGAGCGGGCTGGTGAGTCAGGGGCCAGGGACCAGGCCCTGTCTTCTACCACAACACAGAACCTGTGGGCCCGTGAGTGGCCATGGGGTAGGGGATGAGGGGGGCAACTGCACAGGGCCCTCCCCCCACACACCTGGGCAGCAGGGATCACCCTACCTCCTACCTCCCCAGCCGTTAACTGAGCACATCAGCGGCATCAGTGGCCTCTGCAGCCAGGTCCCCAGGAGCACAGCGGCCCCTGACCCAGGTCTCACATTCTGCCTCTGCAGCCCAGCCCTCCATGACGGCCTCCCCACAGACCGAGGAGTTCTTTGACCTCATTGCCAGCTCCCAGAGCCGCCGGCTGGATGACCAGCGGGCCAGTGTGGGCAGCCTTCCTGGCCTGCGCATCACCCACAACAATGTGGGCCACCTGCGCAATGACGGGGACCCCCAGGAACCCGGGGACGAGTTCTTCAACATGCTTATCAAGTATCAGGTGGGCCTGCAGCTGGTGACTCAGGTTGAGGGTTGGTCCCTGCCTGTCTCAGGTCGTGTGCTGGGACTCCTTGCCTCCAGGGAGCAGAAGAACAGGCTGGCAGGAGGGCTGGAAGCCCATGGGGCCGGGCTGGGGCCCGCTGGCAACTGTCTCTGCTGTGCCAAGCCTCGTGTGAAAGCTGCCCTCTGCCCACACTGCACACACACAGGTCTGGGAAGACTTCTCAGGGCTGCTGGCAACTCGAGCACCCTTGCGGTGGGCAGGGAGCAGAGCCGGGGATGCGGTCGGGAGACTCCAGGTGGCTTGGGGTGGGGGCTGCAGCGCCGTCCGGAGCGAGATGCACCAGTTTCCAGATCTGCCGTTCGTTCCCACAGAGGAGGAAGTGGGGCCGTGGGCCAGGCGTCTCAGCAGCCACAGGAACACCAGCCCCTTCTGAGAAACCCAGAGCCCCCCATCCTCTTGCACGCATGCGCCAGCAGCTGCAGCAGCTTGAATCCCTCCTGCTCCAGGCCCTGCAGAGAAGCCCAGGAGCCCCCCAGGCCACACCACATCCCTGCCAGGCCAGCAGGGCTCAAAGGCTTGGCCGCCTGGCCCGAGGGAGAACCCAGAGGAGCTCCTCATCAAGGGCTCCAGAGCTGTGTACTCCAGGCTTCCTGGGACCCCTCCAGGCCAGTGCCAAGGGACAGTCACACCCCAGCCAGCCTCTAAGGGTCAGCAGGCCATGGGAGCAGGACCTAGGGGGGCCCCAGCAGCCCTGTCCCAGGCCTGGCTCACTCCCCACCCAGCAGGTATCACTCGACCCATTCTGGTTCCCGGGGACATGGCTCCAGGATGTGGTGCCAGGGCTGGGGGATGCAGGGAGCCCCACAGTAGCCAGCCAGCTCACAGATCCAAGGCTGGGCAAAAGCCTTGCAAGGGCCAGGGCAGGACGATGGCAACCCACCTGTCTGCTCAGTCCTCCAGGATCGACGACCAGCGGTGCCCGCCCCCCGACGTGCTGCCGCGGGGCCCCACCATGCCGGACGAGGACTTCTTCAGCCTCATCCAGAGGGTGCAGGCCAAGCGCATGGACGAGCAGCGTGTGGCTCTCACCGGGAGCCAGGAACAGGAGGCTGGCGAGCTGTCCAAGCCCCCTCAACAGTGCCAGCCCGGTGCCAGCTAAGGCTGTGTACCCCGCCTCTGGATGCGGGGGGGGGGCTCAGCACCCACAAAGGCGACATCCCCAGGGAGCCACAGCTGAAGGCCAGCTCCGAGCCCCCAGCCCTTCCCACTGAGCCGACACTGGGCACACGCCCCCTTCCCCAGCACCCTGTCCCCAGGCCTCTCAGCCTGGAGCTGCCCACAGGAAAGGTGGGCTCTTGTCCCTGCGAGTCCCTGGCTTCCTGCAGGCCCAGCCTGCCCTGCCTGGGCCAGGCTGTCAGCACGTGGCTCCAGCCCTGGTGCTGTCCAGAACCCCCTTCAAGCTCCACTGTGCCCAGCCAAATGTGAAACTGCCGCATCTCCCTGGAAGACCGCCCGGGGCTGCCAGCATCTCAGGCAGCTACTGTCCCCAGCTGGTCCTGGAAGACAGCGTGGTCCAGGCTCCAGTGTCCGGCTCCCACCCACGTTCGGGAGGTGGAGCCTGGCGCTGTGGCGGGGCAGGCGGGTCCTGCCCCGACCCTGTCCACAGCAGACAGCAGGGCAGAACCACAAGCCTCCACACCCCCTGGAACAGACAGACCAGGCTGGGGGTGCTGGCTGATAGTGAGCACCGCGCGGAGTGGGGGTGGGTGACGACTCAACTCAGCCCTGGGGACCCACCATGAGCACCCAGCCTGGGCGATGACCTCACAGCCTTCACCCGACAGAGAAGGCCGCCTGTGGCATCAAGCTGGGAAACGAGACTTGGAGTCCCCACTTTGGGGACTATGGCTGTCTTCTCCTGTCCAGACTCCTGCCTGTAGGCTCTGGGGAGCACATGGCCGTAGGGTCTCCAGGGCGTGTGACAGCTACAAGGTCCCGTCCGGGGGACAGTGAGGCCAGACCAGCTGGGCCATCTTGCTCCCAAGAGGGGGTAACCCCAGGGCTCGGGGAGACGCGGAGGCGGGTGTCGGGCTTTACACCTGATACTTGAACGTACATGTGTGTATTTACTGCTCATTCACGTGTGCCATGTTGTCCACGGGTCCCCACTGCCACCACCAAGAGGTACGTCTGCTTTGGTTTTTCCTGAAAAATAAAAGTTTGCCAAGTGACTGTGCCCCCTGCTGGGATTCGGGGGGAGGGGCTGGCCGCTCTGGTGGTCCCAGGATGACCTGGAATATGTCAAACATCCACTGCCATCCACACCCACCACGAGTGCTGCTGTGGAACACAGCTGTCAGGAGGTCTCTGGTTTGGGACCCCTGCTTGGTTACTGGGGGCTGGGCTCTCAGCTACCTTCATGAGAGCACTTGTGTTCCCTGCCAGGCCTCTGCAGGCCGACCCCCACCGTCCCCACCTCCTAAGGGCAGGTGCAGGAGCCAGAGGTGCACAGCACCCTGGCCTGCCGCCACCACCGCCCCCCCAGTCCAGGGGTTCAACCTGGAGCCCCACTCCATGGGGATCCAGCTGGGGCTGATCCAGGAGGTTAGAGAAGCTGGAGCGTGCAGGGTAGGTGACACGCTGTGGGCACAGGCTGAGGCACGAACACGGGGGTGTCCCAGCAAGGCAGCCCCTCCACCACAGCCACCCTGTGCTCCCCAGCCCTAACCACACCCCTCACAGGAGGTGCTGGGGCAACCCCGTGTGACCCCTCCTCCGCAAGCCAGAACCTCTGAGCTCCCTTCCCTGAGAAGAGTTGCTCCACACGGTGGCCAGCTGAAATGTGGCCAGGGCCCCCTGGGGTTGAGGAGCAGCTGGCCCTGGATGAAGGGTCCAGTGAGGAAAGCTGGACCCGCTGGTCTGCATTCCAAGAGGCCAGCTCCCGGGGCGCTGAGATGTCCGCAGAAAGATCGCAAGGGACAGCATGTGGGCCCCGCCTTGCTGGTCTCCGGGTCTGACCTAGCCTAGGCCTGTGGCCCCAGAAGGTGTTGGCCGCACTGCACAACCGTGACCTCAAGAAGTCAGATAAGCTGTGGGCAAGATGGTGTGCGGCCCTGTCCAGAAGCCCATGTTGGGCACAAGGGGGCAGGAAGGGCTGGGCAGTTCACAGATGGTGCTCCAAAGGGAAAATCAGGAGAAAAGACAAGGTAGGTGAGGGTGTGGCCACTGAAACTCCTGGTGGCTCGTGGCACCGAGGACACTCTGCCACCCTGTCCCACTGGTCTGAGCATTCCAAGAGGCCCACCCAGCTCCCTGGGGACTGAGAGGTCCTACAGAAAGATCGCAAGGGATGGCAGGTCTGACCCAGCCTAGGCCTGTGGACCCGCAGCACCGTCCAGAGTCTGCTGCTGCCTGGCTAGGGGAGGGAATACACAGGGGCTGGGTGGCCATGCTGCCTCCAGACAGACACAGGGAGGCCCGTGGTGGAGCCACCACCGCACACCAAGACCCCTGCTAGGAAGACAAGGCGGTGTAGCTGGGCCTTTACTGCGGTTTTCACTGGAAAGCAGGAACCACAGAGTTTACAGCGTGGTACTGGCCAGCCTGAGTGATGCCGGGTTCTGGGAACGCACACAGCCTAGCTATGGCGTCCGCCCCTGACCCCAGGCGAGGCAGGCAGGGCGCAGTGGCCCCGCGTGAGACTGAGGAGGACAGCCTGGGGTGGGGCTCTGAACTTGTAATCCACACATGGAAGAGGCTGTCAGACCCCGAAGTACAGAAAAGACAGGGTGCAGCGCAGGCCTCAGTTTGCCGTTCATAAGAGCGGGATCGACATTTGACCATCCTGCGTCCCGACCCTAGAAAGCACCGAGGAGCCCAGGTCCAGCCCAGCCAGGCCACCTAGCCCACGCCAGGGCCCCTGGGAAGCCCCAGCTGGCCCCTCATGACCTTGGGCCTCTGTGAGGAGCAGGCCCAGCACAGAGGCTGATGACAGTTCTTACAAGTGACAAGAGGCTCTGGGTGGGGATAATAGCAGGCTGCTAGCGGAGGAAAGGACAGGGGGTAATCGAACCAGGACACATGCTGTACTCACGCCCAGCCTCCCACGGCCAGCGTGCTGGTAATCACTAGCTGGGGCCCACGGGACAGGACGGGTGCATTGTGTCCCTGTCTTGCTAGGCTCAACCCCCACCTCCGCCCTCTCCCCTTTTCAGCCCCTCCCTGCCAGACAGGGCGGGTGATTAATGCTGAAGGTCATACAGCAGAGAATACTCTGGAAACAGCCACGCCTGCAGCCGCTCACTTCCTAAACACAGAAACATCCTGAGCGCCAGTCAAACAAAGCCGGGACACGAACCACACGCAAGAGATGGGGCAGGGCCAGGTGGCGCGGGGCTCTGTCGGCTCAGCCTCCTCTCCTGAGCTCCAGCATGTCCAGCCCGCCTGGGGATGGCAGGGGGCACCGGGGGCACGCCCTGCCCAAGGTTGGAGCCCACGTCCAGCCCCCTGTCCCCCTGATGTGGAAAGCCCAGCCTCAGACAGGGAGAGAAGGCCTGGTGCTCAGGAGAATGGTTCGGACCCACGACAGACAGACCAGGGAGCCAGGCCGGGCATGCACAGAGCTGACGTTTACTGACTGGAAAAGGCCATGTCCAAGACCAACCAGGGGCCCCTGTCAGAGGCAGTGCCTCGCAGCATTCGGGATCATGGAGTCAGCTCTGCCCTGTCTTGCAAGTGTGGGTGGGATCCTTATTGTCACCATCTTCCGGGTCCACGGGGGACTTGGGGGGCCCTGCAGTCTCCAAAATCAGTTCCAGAGCCCCTTCGTCAGCCAACCGGCGCACCTTCTCTCCTCTGGCCTCCAGGATCTCTTCAATGTTCCTGCAAGACAGGGAGGCAGTATCACCCAAGCACACCACGCCTCAAGGGCACCATGGTTGGCCTGGGCAGGAGTGTGGTGCCGGTGTGATGTGGCGGCCTGACCACTGAGGTGCTGAGGTCACTCGCTGAGGCGCATGCTTCCCAAGCACCATCCGCAGGAGACCAACCCCATTCCCACCGGGCGGAAGAAGGTCTTCGCTGGGGCTTATCAGGACCATGCGCCGCAGCGCAGCGCCTGCCACACGACCTTAGGGGGCTTGCCCACGGCTCTGCCCATCCCCAGGTGGGCAAACAGCTGGGAAGCCATGGACAAGGCTGCAGGGCGGGGGCGGCCCGGGCTGCCCGGATCCGCAGCTGCCGCTAGGGGCAGCGCTGGCACCACACCTCAAGCCGAGCCTGGGTGGACAGGTGCCCTGGTTGCCAGGGTGGGCAGCGGGCCAGGCGCGTACTGCCCTGCCGGTGCCAGCAGGGCCACCAGGCCATCCCAGGGCCCAAGCCTTCCTCAGAGCCTCTCCACTCCCGCCGGGGGCCTCACCTCTTCCCGTCCAGGTCGGAGAACCAGCCCAGGTTATCTGCAATGATGTGATGGTTCTGGCAGCCAGGGCAGGTCACAATGACCACGCCCTGGTGATAGGCCAGCTTGGAGATGCGCTTGGAAGACCGAGTCCCACAGACCTAGCTGGCGCAAAAGGAACCGGGTTAGGTTCCGGGAAGTACCCTCCGGAGCACCATCCTGGCCTGCCGGGGCAGCCCTGCCCATCTCTGGAAGGCCTCGCCCCTAAGAGAGCCCACCCTTAAAAGGCCCCACCACCCGAGAGCCCCAGAACTCCGCCCCCTGGCATGGCCCCGCCCCCGAGACAGCCCATCCTGGACAGGCCCCGCCCCTGAGACCGCCCCATCCTCGGAAAGACTCCGCCCCCCAAAAGGCCCCGCCCCCGAGACAGCCCATCCGGGACAGGCCCCGCCCCCAGAACAACGCCCCTTGGGAGGGCCCCGCCCCCGAGACGTCTCCCCACGCCCGCCCGGAGAGGCTGACAGGACATCTTCAAGTGCTGGCAGGGAGGCCCCGCTTCGCCCTCCAGCGCCCGGCAAGGCCGTCCCTGCCCCGTGCCCACCTTGCAGGTGTAGATGAGCTGGTAGTGCGCCGCCTCCACACACCCCAGCCCAGTCGCGGGCTCCGCCCCGGAGCTCACGTGCCGCCAGCCCTGGCTCCAGACCCAGGCCGGCCGTCTCCCCGCGAGCTCCGGGTGGGCCCGGGCGACCCCCAACCGCCTCAGGCCGGATCCCCTGGGGTGCACGCAGCCTCGCAGTGCGAGCACGCGGCCCACTGCCGTCCGCAGCATTCCGCCGGCCCGACGGGGACGCCTAGGCCGCTCCGCCGGGCCCCGCCCCGCACGCCCGACGCCGTTCCCGCCATCTTGGAAGTGGGCACGCTCTCCGGGATTCAGCCCGCCCGCCGCGGCGCACCGCCCTCTACCGCCGCCTGCGTTACTGCGCACTCTCCCCGGCAGCTTATTTTGATTTATTTAGTTGCGTGCTCCAGATCGCTACAGTGCACTTCTAGCGTACAATGCGAATAGGACGGCTTGGACACGGGCGCGCGCCTCCGCGGGGGGAGGAGATGGAGGGAGGAGACTGGGGGAGCGCGCTTCTCCGGTGGACTAGGAGCCCTCGGTGTCTGTGTTGTCGCTGCCGGTGGTGTTCCCGCGGTCGCCCTCGCCCTGCTGCCAGCTGCTCTGCACCTTCCTGAGCGCTCGCTTCCTGTGGGAGCAGTGGCAGGTGTGGGCAGACGTCACCGCTGTGGCCCCAGCCCACGCCCGCACCCCACCTGCGGTAGTTCTCGAAGCTCTCCTTGAGGCGCCGCCGCTCCTTCTCCGGGGGCTCCCCGCCCACACTCGGGCCAGGCTCCTGCCGAGGCAAGGGTAGTTGCCGCGGTGCCCTCCGGCCGGCTCCCCTGCGCCCCTCCCGGCTGCCCCAGCAGGACCGCTGGCCCGCTCCTGCTCCAAACGCCGCCCCTCAAGAACGTCCAGGGGATGAGCGAGCAGGGCCAGTAGCACACGGGGCTGCGGGGACCCAGAAGCCTTACATGGGGACTAAGCGAGAGCGGCTCCTTCTGCAGGGACACGAAGGGCTGCTGTTCCACGTTCTCAGGCTTGGCCACGCTGCCTGGAAAAGGGAGCAGGGCCCGTGGATGCAGCCACTGCCCTCTGCCAAGCTGGCTGTGCCCAGGCCAGTCCAAGAGGTCAGGTGAACCCTTCCCATCTCCCAGACGAGGGTCAGGAGGAGGCCCAGGATCAGAACCCAGTGCTGCCATACGCAGCCTGCTCCTCCCAAACTGGCTCCCCTAAATTACTAAGGGCACACAGGCAGGAAAGACCCCCGACCCCTGGACAGTTTGCCCGCGTGTGCCCCAGGCAGTGTCCCCAGTCGCTGGGCTTTGGGGGGCAAGGTGGTGCCCAGAGGTGGGCACGGCAATGAGTAGCAAGGTGGACACTAGGCTGTTCGAGATCTCACAGGTCTAGCAAACCAGGCCTCAGGCCCCTTGGGGTGCAGGCAGGGCTGCAGCGTCAGGGGCCCCCTGGATCTGCGCTGGCTGACACCCCCCCTTCATGCTGCCTCTGCCCACGTGGACTCAGCAGCCTCAAATTCACCATCTCCCAGGCTGTGGCCGGTGGCCCAGCCCCACTTCTCCATTTGCTGCTGTTTCTTCCCCCTTTTTGCCTGGCTTGGAGGCTGGGTTAGGCTGATCTGAGGAAGTCTGTGACTTCCCACACAACCTCCAGCCCCGGCTCCTCCTCCCCCTGCCACCCCCCATCTTCCCAGCAACCCCAACCCGCAGCCCCTCCCCACCTCCAGGGCCCTGCCTGAACGCTATTCTGACCCATCCTGTCTCTGAGATGAATAGCTGATGACACTGAGGTACTGCCCAGCTTCCCAAGCCTCTGCTGCCCCTGGCACTGCAGGTACTACATAGCCATGTCCCTGCCCTGCTGCCAGGGGACACGGTGGGCTCTCACTACCTAGCCTCATGCACTTGGACACTGGCCTGCTGCAGTCTCCCGCTGCAGGGAAGCTAGGTAAGGTGGGGCAGGTGAGCCCTGGCCCCCTGGTCCTCTGTGATCCCAGGGCCCACACAGGAAGGGGTGTCCACAGCCAGTGTCCCATGCACATCATGTTTGCGTAGGCCACATGCCCCAGCAGCTGAGCCCCAGGTTCCAATTGGACTCTCTCCTTGCTAGCTGGGTGTAAGCCTCAGCTTTTCCATCTGCAGTGTGAGGGTGTGATATGTAATGAAAGTGTGTGTGTGTGTGTGTGTGTGTGTGTGTGTGTGAGAGAGAGAGAGAGAGAGAGAGAGAGAGAGAGAGAGAGAGAGAGGGGAGACCTGGCAGCGCTACCAAGAGGCAGAGAGCTGTCAGCAGCCTCCTCGGGCGCACACTGTGTACCCCTCACCTCCTCACCTTTGTCTGAGCGCTGTCTGTCATCCTCCAGGTCCTGGGGCAGTGAGAGCTTGCAGAGAGAGGCAGGTTGTCCTGTTAGGCCATCCTGCAAGCCAGCGTTGTCCCGCCAGCCCTGGACCTGGCCTACCCATGGCCCACGCTGTCACCTTCTGTAGCTTCACAGAGCCTCAGGCTGCCTGGCCAGGTGGGATGGAGCCAAGGAAGCAGCCCTACACTCGCCCACCCCACTGACCCGAGTCCGCAGAGGCCCTGGTGGCCGGGGAGCAGGGGGGTGGGGGCCGCTGACCTCCTGTGAGTTCCCGGGGGAGCTGTCTTCCAGGTCAGAGCTCTGTAGTCCAAGACAAGAGGTCAGTTGGTCGGCAGCTCACGGGGTCCCTTCCCCTCCAACCGCCCCTCCCTGCTGAGCTGCCTGAGGGCTGCCACTCAGTCCCAGCCACCACCCTGCAGTCCCACTTCCCACCTGGGCAGAAGCCATGACTGTGCCCCTGCCCACCAAAAGGACACAGAGCCCTGTCAACAAGGAAGGGGCTGGCAGTGGCCAGGCCAGGCCCCAGCACCCTGCCCAGCCCCTTCGTGTATGGCTGCCCAGGCCGCCCAGACGCAGGCCCACCAGGACCAGGGTGTCCATCTGCTGCTGCTTGAGCCGGGCCTCAGCGGTCAGCAGCCGGCCCTCGCTCTGGAACAGCTGCAGCTGCAGCTCGTCGGCCTTTTCGCCCAGCTCTCGGACCCTCTTGCGTAGCTCGTCCTTCTCCTGCAGGCCCCGGGCGCACTGCGCGTGCAGCTCCTCCCGTGAGGCCATGGCCTGCGGACACACGGCCCGGCTCAGCAGGCTGGCCCTGGCCACCTCGCCAGCAGCCCTCTTGCCCTTGGACAACGCCGGATCTCCAGGGATTGGAAAGCAGCGTTAGGGCTCCCGACGGCAAGTGCGGGAGTGAAAGAGGTAAAGGAGAGAAGAAGCTCCAGGCAAGTGCGGAGAGTCCTGGGACAGTGTCCCCACAAGTGTGCCCTGCGGCGGCGGGCAAGTGGCACCTTCATGCTCCCCCACAGGCACATGTCCTGGACTTCTGGGAGGTAACTGGTACCAGGATGTGATCGCCCTGCTGCCTCAGGTCCTTTAACATGAATGGTGTGCTCTTTTAACACCCTGTCCCCCCAGGTCCCCAATGAGAAGGTCCACACCACAGACCAGCCTCAGGAGTGAGAAGGTCCACATCACAGACCAGCCTTAGGAGAGCACTCAGCCACTGCGCCATGACAGTCAGCAGGCCGTGGGGCCAGAGTGAAGGCAGGCAGCAAGGAGAGCTATGCCAAGGTATCAGAAACCCAGTCGGACGTGCTGTATGTGCCTGTAATCCCAACCAGGAACAGCGACTGTAATGACCAGGGACCTGGTGATCTTTATTATTGGTCTCTGATTTGGGCCAGGCTGGGCTCAAATTCTTGGTAAGCCTCCTGCCTCAGCCTCCCAGATTATAATCCTATAATCTTCAGCCTTGGGAGGCTGAAGCAGGAGGATCACTGAGCCAGGGCTATGGAGGGAGAGCTTGTATCAAAAAACAAATCATAGTGGTATGGTGGTATAAATTTGAAGGGCCGGCCAAATAGCTCAGTGGATTAAAGCACCTGCAAGCAGGCACAGGGGCTGAGGGTTTGATCCCCAGGCCTGCCGTACCGGCCCCACGTCTGGGGCGCACTGAGATGGCAATTGACACTGGGCGTGGTGGCACGCACCTGTAATCCCAGCACTTGGGAAGACTGTAAACAGCGGGATCAGTGCCACTCCAGTCTAGCAGTGAAACCTGAACACCCTGTAGACCCTTCCTTAAAATATAGAAAAGATCCGTAATCCCAGCACTTGAGAGGCTGAGGCAGGAGGCTTACCAAGACCCGAGCCCAGCCTGGCCCACATAGTTCAAGGCTTGTACTACATGGTGAGAGCTTGTAACAAAACAAAAATTAGAAACCAATAAAGACCACTGGGTCCCCCAAGCCCACAGGCATGCGCAGACCCTGGCGTGCTCCACCTCGTGTGCATTGTGGTTTTGAGCCCCCTCCCTCAGTGGGCTTTGGAGGCCAGCACACTTCCTCTGAGGACCTTGTGTGGTCAAAACTGCCTCCAGGACAGGCGGGTGAGTCAGGTACCACGTCTGCTGGGCAGCCCTGACTCCTGTCCAGCCCATCTCATGTAGCCCCAGGGTCATAAGCGACCCAGCTCCTGTCCTCCCAGGCGGCGGGCCCTTCTGTCACTTGCACCCTGTGCAGTGGGTCTTCACCATTTTCCCTTACTGTCCTTACTTTTTAAAAAATTTATGTATTTAGTACAGGGTCTCACTATGTAGCTTGGACTCAATGGTCCTCCTGCTTTCAGCCTCCCCAGTGCTGGGATTGCAGGCGTGAGCCACCACGCTCCAACTCTGGCGGTCGGCTCAGCAGGCCCGTGGGCAGGGCCAGCACAGCATGTGGTGCCAGGGATCAAACACAGGTCCTGGGCTTACCTAGGCAGATGCTTAGTCTGCTGGGCTATCTAGCCAGCCTTTGTCCTTACTCCTTTTTAATAAATCTTACTAGTGCTGTTCTGAGTATCTTGCTCAGTTCTCTCTTTGGGACACCAAGAACCTGGAAGCCACTCCTCAGATGATCCCCACTCCCACCCCATCCTCAGGTCACCCAGCCCCGATGGCTGGGACCTGGCTGGGCCCCGGCAGCGGCTCTGTTTCTTGCCGCTGCTCTGACTTAGAGCCACCTAGAAGGAGCCAGACTTGCTCCTAGGGAGTGGGGGGCACGCGTCAGGGAGCTGCCCCCAGTAGCCCCTCCAGGGCAGTGGACACAGGGCTTTGCCCACTGGGGAGGCCCACCCCACGTCCGCCCCAATGGGATGTGGCAGGGTTTCCGCAGGGCTAGCTCAGGCCACCAGCCCCTTTCAAGGCTCTACAGCTAGTGTGCCCATCGCTACGTTAACTAAGGGCCAAGAATATAGCTCAGTGGCACAGGACCTGTCTGGCAAGCACAAAGTCCTGAGTTCAATTCCTGGTACCAACCAAAAAAAAAAAAAAAAAAAAAAAGAACCAAGACAGGTATAAGCTCCTGTTTTTGTATAACAATGCACAGGAAACAAAGCTATGCATAACACTGAGAAAAATCAGGAAGGAAGGGGCTAAAGGTGACCATGATTTTCCCTGAGACCAGGAGGGCTGGAGGTGGGGAGAGAGAAAATGGGCACCCTTGCGGTTACATCCTTTGGTTCTTTCCCAGCACTGGGCATTGAACCCAGCGCCTCTGCACCGAGCTACACCTCCAGCCCTTTCTGAATTTTGAGACAGGACCTCACCAAGCCTATAGTTGCCCAGGTGGGGCTAGAATGTCCAGTCCTCCTGGCGCAGCCTCGCAGAGGGCTGGGACCCCAGGCGAGCCCCACCACGACGCACTGCCCGCCCTCATGCCCACCTGGTCCCGCTCGAAGGCGACCTCTTCCATTTGTTGCAGGATGGCCTCGATGCGCTCCTTGTACATCTTGGAGTCCTTGCGCAGGGCCAGGCACTGCAGCTCCGTCATCTCCCTCTCCTCTGAGCACTGCAGGAGTGGGGGTGGCATGAGCCCCACCCCTACCCCAGTTCCCATCTGGCCCCCAGGTTGGAGGATTCAGGGTGGAAGCTGGGAGCACACATGATCAGACCACGCAGGACCTTGGCCATAGGCAGGGCGGACCCACGGGTGGCCCCTGGGGGGACACGGGCAAGGCTTGGGTCCAAAAGGCTGCTTCTTAAAACCTGGCACAGGGAACCAGGCATGGTGGTGTACACCTGTAATTCCATCACTCAGGAGGCTGAGGCAGGAGGATTATTGTGAGTTTGAGACCAGCCTGGGCTACAAAGTGAGCTCAAGGCCAGCCTGAACTTCGTAGCAAGACCCTGTCTCAAAACAAAACAAAACAAACAAATGTTCTGCCAAGGTCCCAGTACTGCTGAGTGGCTTGGCTCCCTGCCCATGGTGCCGCTCCTACCCGGGCACGGAGAGCCTCTGCGTGGCGGAGGTCTCTGCGTAGGGTGAAGATGGTGGTGGCTTGCTCCTGGTGCTCGCGCAGCGCCTGGCGCCAGTCCTCCTCCAGCACTTGGATGTAGGGGCTGCTCCGCTCCCGCCTCCCCTCCTGCGGCAAGGGTGGGCCTGTGGGAGCCGCGAGCGCGCCTGGCCACCCCAGCCCGCCCGGCGTGGGCCTGCCCTCGCGCCCACCTGCGCTGCAGCCTCGAGCTCCTGCACCCGCGCCTGCAGCAGGGCCTTCTCCTGCTGCAGCTCCCACATGCGCTCCTGGCTGGGCCGCTGCTCCATGGCGTGCCGCAGCTTCAGCGTGTGCTTGCGCTCCACCTTGCAGTCGTCCTCCGCCTTCATGAGGCTGTGTCGCAGCCGGTCCACCTCCAGCTGCAGGTCCCGGTTGCGCATGAGCGCAGTGCCCTTCTCCTCGCTCAGGCGGGCCAGCCTCATGGCCAGCTCGTAGTTCTCATCCTTGCAGCGCTTGAGGTCGAGCGCGCCCGCCTCGCACTCCTCCTTGAGGCGCCGCACGCGCTCCTGGTGCTTGCGCAGCAGGCTGTCCTTCACGCGCAGCTCCTTGATGAAGTCGTCCTTGGAGCTCAGCAGCGCTGTAAGGTCTTGCACCTTCTTCTGCAGCTTCATGACCTCGCTCATCAGTAGCTGCGTCAGGCCTGACTCCCCGGATGCGTCTAGGGCCCAGGTCAGCAGGCCACGTCAGGACAGCTGCCCCGGGCGGGCCCAGGCAGAGCCAGGGATCCGGGCTGGCTCACCACCCACTGTCCACCCCGACCGCGAGGCCCTGGCGCCAGCGGGAACGAATCCGAACGGGCTTGGCGATGGGCTCGGCGGGGCTGAGCAACTTGCCTGTGAGCAAACGGAGGCCCAGAGGCCCCTGCTGCCGCAGACACCCTGCCCACCCCCTCTGCAGGACAGCAGGACCCCCCAGCCCGAGAGGCGGGACTGAGGCCAGGGATGAACTCTTGAATTCCAGGCTGTCCTTCCTAGGTGAGGCCCAAACCAAGGGGGCGGGGGGCGGGGCCTGACTCAGCCACGCCCACCCCGACAAGGCCACGCCTTCATACGAATAGGTCCCGCCCCAGCCACCAGGCCTGCCCACCAACAGCACACGCCCTGGCCCAGCCCTGCGCCTTGCTCCGCCCACAGGAGCCCACCCATGGGGCGCTCCTTCTTGGCTCTGCCGCACCCCTCACCAATGATCATGGAGAAGACTCGTGCCGGCTCCTTGCCAGTGACCTTCTTGTACAGCTGTGGGTAGTAGAGCTCCAGGCTCTCCAGAAAGGCCACATAACCTTTGTGGCCGGTCCGCTGCAGTATGTCCAGGAGCAAACCTACGGGCCACAGAACAAGTGGAGGGAGGCCACAGGCCTGGGCACTCTGGGCAAGGGGTGGGCCTCGCCGCAAAGGGCCCAGCGGGCAGAGGACAAGCACTCCGCACCGTGCACTGCAGGACAGACCCGGGGCTCTCCCTCGGCCCCCTCCTCTGCAGGCCCCTGCAGTGCTGGGCGAGGGAGGCACTGACCCACTTTGCGCTTGCGGATGACCAAGTTGGGGTCACTGAGCACCTGCTCCTCGTCATCTGGGTTCAGGACCTTGCACTGCCTCAGGTAGGGGGTGATGCGCGAAGGGTCAATGACAGAGATGAGCTTCACTCGGAAGCCCTCCAGGGTGCTCCAGCACTCATCCTCGTTCTCATAGTCCGACATGGTGGAGGGCTGGGGTCAGGGCGGCTGCTGAGGTGGACACAGGGCCGCGGCATGGGGGCACAGCGGAGCACGGTGACCGCCACCCTGCAGGCTACCCAGCCAGCGCCCTCCACCTCCACTGCAGCCTCAGCTCTCTCTCTGAGCCTGGGGAAAGGCGCAGGTGGGTCTGAGAGAGAATGCCCCAGCACCAGGACCCCGCCAGCCTCCACCCTCACATCCCGAAGGGCCCTGCTGCAGAACCCATGTCCAGGCTGGGGTGAAGGCGGGTTGGTGGTGGGCCTCCCACTTCCCCATTCCTGACAGGCCGGTGCCCTCCGATCCTTCCGCACCTCGGCCGAGGCTGGTGATGCAACAGCATCAGAGCTGTCTGTCACTGAGCCGCCCAGGCAGCTGGAGGGGGCGCCATGGTGTGTGCCTGTCACCCTGCCAGGTGCGGCACATTGGAAGAGGCCATCCTACCATGGCAGCTTCTCGAGGTTTGCAGCATGCCTTGTTCTGCTGCCCCGACGAGGCCTGACCAGCCCCAGGCCCGTGTTCTGGGCTGGTCACAACTGCTAGACATCCCTGGGATAGGAACCCCCAGACTCCTGCTAGCAGCACACAGGTGAAGCTGCGCACTGCGGGACGGGCCAAGGTAGCCGTGGCCAGGGCCTGACCCTCTGACCTGGGTCCCTGTCCCAGACATGTGGCTCCAGCAGTCCGGTTCTCTGTGAGATTTCTCAGTTCTCTACCCTCTGCCATCCTGACCCAGCGACAGTCTGCAGGCCGTGGGGCACTGCCTGTGTGTCTAGTCCACACACTAGCCTCCTACCATTAATCCAGGGAAATGAGCAAGAATCTACCAGGCCAGGAAGCAGGCTGTGGGGGACATGGAGACCCCTGCTGTCTCTGGGAGTGGGAGGCTGCTCTGGAGCGTGGGCCCAGGACCCAAGCGGAGCCCACTGGTCACCTCAGCCACCTCTCAGAAGGGCACCAGCCCAGCCTACCTCAGGGTCCTGTGGAGCCACCTGCCCGCCGGCCCTGGCTGCAGCTGTCAGGATGTCTGCGATGCTGCTGGCCTAGGGAGAGAGGCTGTGCACTTCCTGATGGGTTCCGGGTCCTCCCGAAGGGGACAGTCCCTGCTGGCCTGCCTTGATTGGCCAGCCCAGTGGCTCTGGGGCGGACCCAGGAAAGTGGAAGTCCTCTGGGGAGCCGGAGCCTTCCCTCCATGCTGGACTGGGGTCCTGTCTAGGTCCTGGGCCTCCTTGAGTCCCTGCCTGCTAACACAGAAGGGGCAAAGGCACCCCTGGAGCTGAGGCCAACCCCTCAACCTGCTGTGGCCTGAACCTGACTCCTGGGGCTTTGCCACCAAGGTGCATTGTGCCTGATGCCCCGCCTACTGCCGGCATCCTGGCATGGGCACCAGGCCTGCAGGGCATGGGCAGGGAGATGTGAGAGCTGGCAGCCCCGGGGGCGCCGAGGGCACGGGACCTGGGGCTCAGGCGGCCACTGCAGTCCACCAGACTTCCCACTGCTGCCAGCCACAGCCAGGCCAGAGCACCCTGACCTCCCGGTCCGTGTTATGTGGGCACCCTGGGGACACATGCAGGGGACCCAGAGCCAGGCCCAGGGGATTCTGATGGCAGACCAGGAGCATCCTCTGGAATCTGGGCCCAGCCCCCACCTCAGGCAGCCCTGCAGCCTCGGACCTGAGATGGGCAAGGGAACCCTAGGCTGCGCCTCAGCCGGTATAGCTGGCTGGGAGAGGACTGCCACCGGTCCTGCTGGGCCAGGTTGATCAACAGCAGCTGAGGCGGCAGCGGGCAGCAAAGTGGGATGCTGGCATGTGGGAGGGCCTGGACAGCCCCTCCTGCAACCTGGCCCCCTGCAGGACTCGACAGGTGTGGCAGCAACACCACAGCAGGCATGGGGCGGCGGCGCACAGGATCCTGCTGCCCGCGGGCTGCACTGCGAGGGGCCTTGCCTGCCCAGGCCTCACTGCCAGCACGCGGACACAGGTTTCCCAGTGGGAGAGGTCAATGGCATCTTTCTCGGTGTGCCCGACAGTATCACACCTTCTCTGCCCCGCACAGAATGAAGGTACAGATCAGTAACAGAAAGACAGCTGGAAAGCCCCAAGAGTGTGAAATGAAGAGATCTTTGAGCAGCCACAGGCAGAGGAAGTCCCAAGACGAAGCAGACGCTGGAGAGGGCGCGGGCCTGGAGGAGCACTGGCTGGCACCTGCTCGGTGTGCAGTGGCAGTGCTGCTGATGCCCGGGAACTGGGGCCACCCAGCTGCCAGCGTCGCTGGGGAGAGGCACACCAGGGGCCGGGCTTGTCCCTGGGTGGTGCCAGCAGAGGGATCCAGAGAGGAGGGCGCCATGCTCTGGGGGAGCTCTGGGGTCCCCACCCCTGCAGGCTGTGGCAGACCTGCAGCTTCTCTCAACGGCCAGGGACCCTCATGACCTCTCCTAACCCTCCGCAAACAGGGTCTATGGGCATGAGGGTCAAGAGGGTGGCCAGGGTATGAGGCCCTGAGGATGCCGTGGGGAGCCAGGGACATCTCCCATGCCCAGGCCCTGACTCGTGGCCTGACATGGGCACACTGCCCAGCGCGCAAAACTACAACAGCCTGTGTCCTGTTTTTAATTTAAAAAACGGCATTTAATCTGTTCTTTCAAAAACCCAGATTCCCATAAGGCTCAGCTGTGATGGCCTGGTCACCAGGTGAATAGGTCAGTCTTGGCCAGCAGCTTCTGGCCTCTGGCAGTGTCCTCTGCCTTTTCTCTGCTGGTGGTAGGCAGGGGATTCTGGGCCCCAGGAGGACTCGTCCTGAAATGGAGGAGCGCCCTGACTCCAGCAGGCCCCATGCACCCCCGATGCCCTGGCCAGCTGTGCTTTCCGGCTGCCGCAACCTCCTGGGCGCCCCTGGGGTCCTGCCAGCTCTCCTGGCTCTGCCTACTCCAGGCATCACCTGCCGCCTCTCTGGTCTCACCAGGATGTGCTCGGAATCCCCAGGTGCCTACCAAGCAGTCCTGGGTCCTACCGACAGCAAAGTGCTCTGTGCTTTCGTGGTCACAGAGGGACAGTGCAGATTGCGTATGTGGTAGGCAGACGCCATCAGGGTATCAAAACTGATGCCTGGCTAACAGTGCTGCCTTCAGAGAACGGCCAGGGGCACGATTCGGAGACGCCGAGAACCCGGGAAGAGAGGGGAGGGGTCTCACAGCAAGAGGAGCAGTGCTGGGCAGAGGGGACACTGGCAAAGGCCCAGAGGCCACGGGGCCAGCAGGAGGTGGCGCAGGAGGCTGGTGGGGAGGATGCAGGAGAGGCTGGCCCAGCTGTCCACTGAACCCCGCTGCCCACACTCCGGGCACGCCTCTTCCTCGGTGCAGGCTGCCTCCAGGGACCTCACTTGTGGCTCACAGCTGCTGCCTCCACTTCCGGGTGTGGCGGCCGTGCCGGGTCCTGAGCACATCCAGGTCATCAGCGGCATCTGGATAGGAGACCAAGTCCTTGCCAGAGGCTGGGATTCCCTGAAATAAAACCCCAGGCGAGGAGAGACGTGAGGCCACCAGGCACAGGACAGGAGTGGGGCCGGGAGGGCCTGCAGACAGCACCCTCGGGCACCAGGGGCAGTGTGCCTCCCTGCAGGGCTGCGCCCGGCTTTCCAGGTCCATATGCACCCCAGCTTTCTGCGGTTCTCTCCTCGTGGGCACTCCAGTCTCCTCTGAGATGTGAGTGGCTGGCCTTCTAGTATGAGGTAGGGCCACTGGAAGGGGACAGGGCTGGACAGCTGCGCATGGGCTCAGGAGCCCCCTGCCCCGGCTACATGGGCCCAAAGCCCAGAATCTGGGGTGGTACCGCCTTGGGCTGGGCTTGGGACACCTGGGGATGGAGGTCAGGGTGTTAACTGGGACAAGTGCCCGAGGCCCCTGGTAATGAGGCGGCTTTGTGGGGGCTCAGTGTGCAGCCAGAGCGGCCACAGGGCCAGCCCGACAGCCAAGGAGCTCTGGCTGTAGGTAGAGAAATGGCCTTGCAAACACAGCTAAGACCTCACGAGCAAGAGATGTCACAGGTAGGCTTCTTCCTCCCGAGAATGTGCAGCCAGCACAGCCACCCTGCTGTGGGAAGTGGGCCGGCCCGGCACCCTCACCTGCATGGAGCTCTCAGGCCCTGGCTCAGCCTGGGTGCCATGGGCTGTGCAGCCCAGCCATTCGTCCCTGTCCCCATCCTCAGACTCCAGCTCGCTTGACAGGTCCTTGTCCATGGTCTTGGGGCCTGGTCTCAGAGTTGCCGAGAAGGTAGTAGGGACACCATTGGGGGGCAGGGTAGCCAGGAGCGCAGGGAGTGTGAAGATTGCCAGGAACCGGGCCTTCAACAAGAGGTAGGCTGGGTTGTCCTGCAGCTGCCTCTGTACCAGCTCCACGGAGGTCTGCCAGGCTCTGGGCCTGGCCACCTTGTCAGCCACCAGTGAGGCAGCCTTGTGCTCCAGGACCTCCCTGTGGAGCAGGAGGCTGGACAGGGCCCGCAGGCTGCACAGGGCAGGGGGTTGGTAGGGCAGCCTGGCCTGCAGGGGGGGCACGCACACCCCCCGCCGGCCCCGCAGCCACTCCCACGTGGCCACCTCACTCTCCAGGCAAAGCAGGCCCAGGTCCAGGGCCCTCTTCTCAGGCCCTGATGGGGGTGGCCTCTCCGGGTCCAGGGGCGTGCTGGGTGCTGCTGTCCCTCCTGGATCATTCCTGGGGCTAGGCACACCACGGGCAGGCAGTTGGCTGGGCTGCAGGGGCCCTGTATCAGGGCTGTCGGCCAGGGAGGCTGTCCTGGGCACTGAAGCCTGTCTGGCCTCCTGGGTCTCTCCACCATGGGCTTCTGCAGAATGTGGTGGGCAGCATGCTGGGAGATCTGAGGGGTCTGTTCTGGTCACAGGAGCCAGCTCTGTGTTCACGCTGGCTGGGGGCTGGCAGGGGGGAGGAGTCGCGGTGAGAGGAGGCGGCACTGGCACTGGTGACTTGGGAGGGTTGAGCAGCTCTTGAGTGGGGAGACTCAGCACAGCTGGTACCTGCACCGTGAGCAGCCCCTGCGCTGTGAGCACCCAGGTGACAGGCAAGGGGACGCTGGTGGCCAGGGCAGGAGTCAGGCCGAGGGGCTGTGTTGGTGGTGGGGCAGGGCTGGGGGCTGCGGGCAGGAAGGTTGGCACCTCAGGCAGGCTTTGCTTCCGCATTGTGGCAGGAGCCTGTGACTGTCCCAGACTGCTCAAAGGGCAGCCTGTAGGAGCCTGGCCAGAGCCCCGGGCCGGGGCAAGTTGTGGGGTCTGGGATGCAGACAGGCACTGGGCCTTGTCCTTGCCCGAAGCCCCTGCCTGGCCAGCCACTGTGGGGACCATGGGTCCCGAGAGTCCTGGACTGGAGTGGGCAGGACCCACCACTGGAGGACCTTGGGGGGCTGGTGAGAGGGGCTGCTGGAGGACCACAGGTGAGATCAGCAGCCGCGGGGCGAGAGCCACAGGGCCCAGGGCTGCCTTCCCAGCAGGGGCCTCATGGAGCCGCTTCTCCCGCAGAAGCTGCGACACGGTCTTGGGCCTCGGTCGGGGGCCCTGAGAGGCCAGAGCAGGGGCTGGGGCTGAGGCAGCCTTGGCCTGGCAGGATTTCGGCTCTGTGCTCCCTGCGGCGTCCCGAGCTGACTGGTGTTGAGGGTGGCAGCCTGCAGAGGACAGAATGGGGAGGATGGGGAGGCCCAGTGTCTGGTCCAGGGACACAGCAGGCCTGTGGCAGGCACAGTGGGACACAAGGCACAGGAGCCTGGTGCGGCCCAGCAGGCTCCTAGGGGATGGCTTTGTACCCTCCTCAGGACCCACCCCCACCTGGCTCTGGTGACCGGAGGTGACCGTGGCAGCCAGCAGGTCTGGCCCTTGCTAAGGTGGCCTCTGGCCCTGGCAAGAAGACCCCTGTGACCATCACCAAGGCCCAAACATGTGGCGCATAAAGCCCCCACCCCCAAAGAAAGGCAGGAGATACCTGGGAGGGTTGGGGCTCCAGAGGGGACCTGAAAGGAAGGGGGCGAGTCAGCCAGCACAGTCCTCACAGGGCCCCGCTGCTCCCCACTCAAAGTGCGGAGCTATCCGCAGGCACCTGGCTGGAGTGCATGGGGTGACAGGGCAGGGTGGCCTTGTGGCCTTCAGGCATCAGAAGTGTACGGAGTCCTCAGACACCAGTGATGCAGTCCTGCTGTCTCCCAGGGGCAGGGCCCAGGGCAAAGCCTCCTGTTGCCTGCATGTGTCCCAGCCGCTGAGTTGCCAGCCACTGAGTCGCAGGGGACACAGGCTCAGCATCACCCCAGCATGTGCAGCAGAGCTCAGCCAGACCTGGGGCTGCACGCCCTCATGGCTCACCCCAAGTGCCCGCTACCTGCAGATGTGGTGGTGGGGCCTGGGGGCCAGGCGGGGGCAGCTGGGCCTTCCGCTCCCGAACAACCTCCATGCAGCCGGCAGCATCGATCTGCAGCAGCTGGGGGAATGGGAGAGATGTGGGGGTGTGCCCAGGCCACACCTTGAGGCGAGCACAGCCTCACCCACCTGCCTGGCCCTGGGTCCCCCTTCCTCCGAAGCCCTCCTCCCCAGGACATCGCTTAACCACAGGGGGCAGGGAGTGCCGACAGCCCACTGCTCCACCTGGCCCAGGACGCAGTGGACGTGGCACCAGACTGCAAACTGTGGGAAACCGGGCTGCGAGGAAGGAACCACTGTGAACGCTAAACCTTCGCCAAAGACAAAGCCGCCGTGGCTGAGCGGGCAGCTCACCTGCATGCACAGCGTGAACACGGGGGTGCTGGCCAAGTGGGCCTGCTCCAGCCGCATCCCGATCCCATCAGCTGGAAACAAGGGCACATGTGGGAAGGGGTTCCGCCACAGAGCTGCCCTCCTGGTGCTTCAACCCTCTACAGCCACAAGGGGGGTGGAGGGTGGGTCACAGTCCTTCCCACAGCCCGCTGCCCCAGGAAGCAGTGAAGGCAGAGAGGGCCCAGACTGTCTGGGCTGAGCCACCCCCAGACTATGTGCATCAGGCAGGAATGCACCCCTTTCTCCCCCCGAGAGCCAGGGGCAGGGTGGCACCTCGAGTCCGCATCCCCACAGGCTTCTGGGGAGCCTGTGTGCAGGGCGGGATGGGGTCGCCCACCCAGGGTGTCACAGCCAACAGCAGCCTGCGCTCCAGGAGCCGCCGGTGCAGAACGCGCCTGCGGCGTTGGCGCCTGTTCTGGAAGGTTCTATGCCACAGCTGCCGCAGGTGGGGTCCATCCTCACTGTCCCCAGGGCCAGATCCGGGGGCTGAGGCAGGCTGCGCTGGCTGCCTCAGCCTTTCTGTCTGTGGGCAGGAGACAGGCGTGTGGGCAACCAGGTGTGGAGGTACACAGTGCCCCCCACCGCCTCAGTCCATAGTGGGCAGGGCAGGGCAGGGCAGGGCAGCAGTGCTTGTGGTGTCATGCACAAGGGGGCGAGTGCCAAGCCCTCACGGGCAGGCAGCTCCAGGTGGCCATGTGGGTTCCGAACGCCCTCCGTACCGTCTTCAGGGCCACCTTCAGCAGATGCAGCCCACCCTGAAAAGGCCACAGGCCTGAGGCCTGCTGTTGTGGACACCAGCTTGTGTGGGCCCTAGGTGCAGGGGTGGCTGCTCAGGCAGGGCTCCCGGGGGAGGTGGCAGGTCCCCTAGGCCTGGCTCTAGGACAGCTAGGGTAGGCTGCTCTGCCCACTGGGGGGGGGGGGGACACACGGCTCCACCAGTCCTGCTGCCCCTGCCAGGCAGCCCAGGTGTACCAGGACGTGACTCCACCCAGGGCCCAAGTCCTCAAAAACCGAGGGGAAGGCAGATGCACTAGGCTGGCCATACCTGACTGGTCACACAAAGCACATGGACAAGGCCCTGCACAGGGAGGTCATGGGGCCACCCATGGGCCACTGCTCCTCCTGTGTCCTATCCCCTCTCCCAGCCAAACATCTCAGAGACCCTTCCAGCTCAAGCGTGTCCCTGAGGCAGCTTGCCCTTGGGAACGCAGACATGGCCAGCGGCTAGCAGGCCGCTGCCTCACATGGCTGCCATTGGCCAGAAGCAGGAGTGTATACTGGGTGGAACTGGTAGCCAGGCCAGAGGCCAGCTGTCCTCCTGCCGGAGTACCACCTCTGTGGCACCAAGCCCAGGCACCCCTCCTTTCCCTTGTGCACGCGTGGGGTGCCCCTGCGCCCACCTGATGGGCCGGCTCCTCCAGGCCTGTGTGCTGTGTGTCTGCGGCGCGGGAGGCCTGCGCCTGTCTCATCTCCTCAGGCCTCTGGGCAGCGCTCTGTCGGGCAGGAACCCACAGGCCCATGTCGGGCACCGTGTACTGCGGGGTCAGCAGCGTGCTGCCCACCTGCTGGGGCTCCTCCACCTCCTCCTCGGGGTCCTCACTGCTGCTGCTGCTGCTGCTGCTGCTGCTGCTGCAGCTGCCACCCTCGCTGTCCCCACTGCTGCCGCTACTGCTGCTGGAGCTCCACCGGACCCTCGCGTGTGGCCTCCGCCGCCTTCGCACCCTCTGCTTCTTCTAGGGGGAGCGGGTCACTTGGAGACAACAAGCAGGCAACCCAGTCGGACAGCTCTGGGGCAGGGTCTCAGGAGGGGACCCAGGGCCAGGAATCACGGGCCCCTCCTCCCTCCGCTCGCCCCACCTAGCAGGGGTCCCTAGGTGACAGGCCCCTTCTCACTTCCGATGAGCCCCGACCGGAGCAAGCACCTCACCCTTGCCATAATCTTCCACTTGCTCAGACACTGGGAGCCAGACCGGTTGGGGAGCTCTGAGGCAATTCTTGCCCAGTGACCTGAAGAGCAAAACCAGGTGGAGACTGCTGACCCATACCAGCGCGGACAGAAGAGCTGCCGCATCCCCGGGTCTGGGCCTGTCGGTGGCTTCCTGCTCCCCACAGGCGCAGCGCCGCTGGGGTGCACCCACACCATGGCAGCTGCCGAGTGCCGCAGGGTAGCTCTGGCATACACACCACTGAGATGAAGCCACTGTCCAGTCCCAACCTACCCATGCACACCTGCCCGTGAACCGTCACCATGGTGCCTTTCAGCTGCACGCGGTGGAGAGTGGCACGCTGCCTCCACAGTGCACTGGGACAGCAGGTGACAAAGGCCTCCTTTTTTTGCGGGGGGTCTTTTTGAGACAGGGTCTTGCCATGTAGCTCGGGCTGGCCTTGAGCTCACTTTGTACATAGCTCAGACTAGACAAATGTGCAGTTGATAGGCTCTGGCCCTGGTATGAATTTCTGAATCACTACAGCGGTCATCTAATATAGCTGAAGCCCTTAAAACAAAAGCCCATCTTCCCAAGACCACCTCCCACTTCTCCCAGCTCAGCCAGGGTGCGATTTCCTCTCTCCCATCCTGCTGCCTCAGGGAAGACCCCAATCAGTTCCTCAGGTGTAACTAAACAGCCCCTCCAACTCCACCCCTGGGGAAGGCCATAAAGGCCTCAGCCTCCTTTTGTTTATTTAACTGCAGAGAATCCCTTCTCTCTCCCAGATTGTGTCCTCAAAGATAATAAAGCCCCTTTCCCTTTTCCTTCTGCCTGCTTTTTTGCTTCATGGGAAGCCTGAAGCAACCTACCAGCAACGACCCTCCTGTCTCAGCCTCCCGCACAACACCCACCACACCCGGGAGGCCTTTTTTTTTTTTTTTTAAAGGAACCGGGGATTGAACTCAGGCCCTTGCGCCTGCCAGGGAAGCGCTTATTCCACTGAGCCATCTCCCTGGCTCTTGGCCTATCTTGAAAGTCATCCTTAAACCCGGCAACTCCATGGCTGGGGCTTATCCTAAAGCAATGCTACAAATGTACACAGCGACTGAGCTAAACAAACGGGTGCTCATTCCTCCCGGGCTGATCACTCCTCAGGAAGAGCCCTGGCCGCTGAGACGGGTGCCTGCAGGACACGGAATGCTGCAGACAATGGGTGCGGGCGGGCGGGCACTCGGCATGAGCCCCACGCGCGGGGCAGTGAGTGGGATCCCACCACGCCCTGGGGAGCGTCTGCAGCGCCAGGCTGGCTGGGCAGGAGCCGCCCCCCGTCCCTTCCCTGCTCCACCTGAACATCTGTGGGCCTCGCAGTGAACATGCAGCGACTACAGACGTGCGGCTCGGTGCACAGTGCACGCCTGGCATGAACGAGGCAGGCCTTGGCTCCATCCCAGCCCTGAAAACCCTCGTGGAGTCTGCGGTGGGCCCAGCACCCATCAGGACAGGGACCGTGGGCAGCAGCCCAGGCCAAGGCCCCAGCACGCCTGTCCCTCGAGCGTGCCACGTGCCATACTCACCAACGCCGTGCTTGCCTATGAGCTCCAGCAGCTGTTCCTCTTCTTCTGCGGTCCACCGCCCCTTCTTCAGGCTGACATGTAATCTTCTGAGATATCTGAAAGTCACAGAGACAGGGACATCTGAGGCACTGGACTCCTCTCTCTGCTGTCCTGCCTCCGCAATGGCTTCAGACACAACATCCAAAGCCCCAGGACAACACAGATACTCAAGACTTCATTGAAAACCAAAACTTTCTATTTGAAAGGACACCACCAAGAAAGACAAGCTGCACATGGGCACAGTACTGGCTGGGTGCATCTGGATACGGATGTGGATCTGACAGGGCTGACACAGGAATTTTGCAAACGGCAAAGGATTTGAACAGCTGTCTCTCCAGAGACATCACAGATGGCTGGCAGGTGTGTCAAAATGCCCTCCCAGGGCTGGTGAGATGGCTCAGCGGTCTAAAGCACCTACTTAGAACAAGCTTAGCAAAGCACAGGGACCACCGTTCAATCCCCCAGCACCACATGCCAGCCAGCCCCGCCCCCTGGTGGGCTGAGCTGGCCACACACACACACACACACACTAAAATAAATAAGTTTTTAAAAAAAAGCCCTCCCAGCAGTCAGCCTTGGAGGAACACTGGGGCAGACCCTGCTGCTGCTTCACCCTGAGGCCACAAGGACACGAGGCCAGAAGGTCAGCCAACCCTCGTGGCACAGCTGAGAACAGGTGTGGGGCAGATGTGAAGAACAGAACTTCATGCACTGCCAGTGCGAATGAGGCAGTCCAGCGCCCTTGCCGGGGTTCACTGGGTCCCCAAAGGCTCAAGGCAGGAATCACGGAACCCAGCCACTGCACCTGGGCTGCACGCACAAGAGGACTTGCAGACTGGCTCGGAATGCACGTGGGCCACGTGTGAGGCACTGCGTCCTACACCTCCGTCCTGCCCGTCCTCTGGGTCCTGCTCAGCGGGCTGTGCAGTACCGTTGCTGGGCTCCCGTTGCCCTGGGTCACCCTGGGGCGCTGTCCTGCGCTCAGCATTTGGAGGACATGGCTGCCCAAGCATCGAGGCCCCGACTTCTCCCCAACTTCGCCCCCCAGCTGCCCCTTTCCCTTAGCGCCACCCTAAGGTAGTGAAGTGGGTGCGCTGTGGCCCTGCATTTCTGAGAGACTGGGCAAGTTTTCAGAAGTCTAGCCGTCCTGCTCAAAGAGGCTCCTGTCCAAGACCTCGGCCTCGGCCTCATCAAACTGAGCTCTGTGTGACTGCTGAATGGGGTTTCTCTCTGGGATGATCAAAATGTTTTAAAACTGATAAATACATAGTGCACACCTGTCAACCCAGGACTCAGAGGGCTGTAGTTAGAGCCTAGTCTGGGTAACTTTATTTTTTTAAATCATTCATTCATAAATCGGTAAGGGTCTCGCTATGCAGCTCTGACTCACAGACTCATAGTGATCCTCCTGTGTCAGCCTCCCCAGCACTGGTATTACAGGCATGCACAACCACACCCGGTCTTGGTGGGTGGCACAGTACGTGCCGACATGGCATGAGGTATCGGGGATTGAACCCTGGTCCTTGCACTTGCCAGGCAGGCGCTCAGACTACTGAGCTAGCTCCCCAGAAACCCAGTCTGAGCAATTTAAGTGAGACCCTATCTCAAAAAATAAGACATTAACATGCCAGGCATGGTGACAAATGCCTATAATCCCAGCACTCCAGAGGCTGAGGCAGGAGTGCCGTAAGTTTGAGGCCAGCCTGGGATAGATGATAAGTTCAAGGGAGGTTTATTTTATTTATTTATTTCTGGGGAGGAGGTTTATTTTTTGTTCTAGGACCGAACCTAGAATACATGTCAAGATCCTACCTAAAAAAAATAAATAAAAATTAACAAAGGGCTGAGGGTGCAGTACAGCGCAGAGGCCCTGGGCTCAGTGCCACTACTATGAAGTTTTGAACTAGACCACAGCGACGATCGCAGACCATGGCGACGATCGCAGACCATGGCGACGATCGCAGAGCTTGACGAACAAGCTAAAAACTGCTGATGCACATGTGCTTTAAGGAGTGGAAGGGGTGAGCTGCAGTCTTCGGAGCTGCTCAAAAGGGGAGGAGGGGAGGAGGGCCGCAGCTACCACCTGGGGACCTGCAGGAGGCAATGCCCAGGCTGGGGAGAACTGCGCCCAGCAGCCAGTACCTTGCTCTTGATGACAAATGGCGCAAACGCTAAACACTGGAGAAAAACAGGGGGACCCGTAACCTGCTTCCAGCTGGGCAGACCACAACAGTAAACCTCCCCTGGCCACATCCCCACCCAGTACAGCCAAACCCAGCCCATCACCCCATCTGTCTCCTGCACAAGCCCCTGTGCAGCTCACCGATCTCTGCACTGAGCATCGCTCCTGCCGGGCACCTCTTCCCGGATCTTAAACCAGTCCTGCTCCCCATACTTGGCAACAGCTCGCAGCAGTTTCTGCAGGGCATGATGGATAGGTGAGGGGCACCTCAGGGGCATGGTCACACAATGGGCCTGTTGCCCATGAAGTCACCCAGGACAGCAGGAAGGGTGCCTGAGGAGCCCCTTCACACGAAGAGACCAGGATGTGCACATGACAGATCCTCGGGACTCACAGCGTCTTCGTCTGGGGCCCAGAAGCCCTTCTTCAGGTTAGGGTCCAAGCTCTTGGTCCACCGGTAGATTAGCTGCATGGAGTCTCGCCCTTCCATGTAGTAGACAACTAGGACACAGGGGTCAGCTGGAGGCAACTTAGGACAGAGGGCCTATGGGGACAGGCAGAGGGTCTCTCCCCACCTTGTGTTCACGCCCATGCTTACTCCTGCGGTAAGGGACGTGGCTCCCCACGCGCATCTGCTGCACCAGCTGCGTGAGCATGCGGTCCTCTTCCTCAGTCCACGCCCTGCGCTTCAGGGCCCTGTTGTGCTGCTGGAACTTCTGCAGGCACTGGAAGGCACTGCGGCCGGTCTTCACCGGCCAAGAGAAAGGACACTGGGCTTGGCCCTGCCCTGGAGGCATGTGGGAGTGGCTGGGGTGCTCCGGGGGACAGCGAAACATGCCTATAACCAACAGCCCTCTCCCACTCCCCCAGACCCATACCCAGGACCAGGAAAGCCAGCAGGAGAGGGTGTGGTTCTTTACACTCTAAAAGCTGCAAGACTAACTCATGACACCTAAGCTGCACTGCAAGAGCATGCGGAAGAACCCCTGCAGAGAGGCTCACTCCCCTGGGGCTGGGGAGGGGCACCTGCAAGACAGGATCCACAGCACGCTGGGACCTACAGGGTGCAGAACCCCCAGCTCTGGAGATGCCCTCAGGAGGGCACCAGCGCCCTGCCGTGTGTGCGTCCTGGTCTCCTCGTGCGAAGGGGCTCCCTAGGACTACCCTAACCCTCCCCTCACCCTGTCCTCCCAGTCTTTCTGCCTGGCAAGGGCTCTGGGCTGAGTCTGCTCCCCAAGGTGCACAGTAAGGTCACCAGGACTCCGGCCACCGCCCTGGCACATCCACACATCATGACTTCCCTGCTCAGGGCGTGCTGACATCCTCCCACCCAGCCTGCGCCACGGGCACCACCACTGGAGCCTGTGCTCTCTGCACCAGGGTGGGCGGCTTCCTGATCTCTGGAAAGCCCAGACCCCAGGCTGCAGGCCCGGCTGTCAGTGGCCTGGTGCCCTCTGAGGAGAAAGGGCGGGTGGCAGTGAGCTCTGGACCTGGCACCCAAGTGGGGAGGCGACGGGGGCTGGGGCTTGGGGCCTGCCAGGCCTTACGTCGGCCTGCTGGTGACCGCAACAGTCCTTGGGGAGGAGGACCCTGAGGAAAGCTGCGGACCAACAGAAGCAGGTCTGACTGCGCAGCCGCAGCGTGCACACCCTGTGCGTGTAGTAGATGGTCCACTGCAGCACCAGGGCCAGGGGAGGAGGAGGGCCACGGGGCCGAGGAGCGCTGACGGCGCCATGCTGCAGCCGACGGCCAAGGCCTGGAACGCGACAGCGCACCAGGCAGCCCTGGGCTGCTTTCACAAAGCCACCAGAAGGGTCCGTTTGTGACAAGGCAGCAACTAGTAGGCAGAGACCAGTGGGAGAGTGCTCTTTCTCACGGGCTGGGTTTGGATCCAAGAGCCCAGGAAAGCAGTAAGAGCTCCCTCCCACCGAGGAAACCCACCCAAGTATGCACACCAGCTGCACACCAGGCACAACTGCTAAGGGGCCCGGAGCTGACCTCAACGCAGGCCACAGAACCACAGCCGCAGAGCGCAAGTCGAGCCGGCCCCACCCCATGCCCTGCAGAGCCCCAGGGCAGCATGGAGACACGCTCCCGCAGCCAGCACACGAGGAGTCACTCCAGGCTGGCCTGCCTCGGAACGCTCCTGCCTCAGCCCGCCCACGGATGTGACCACAACATGCTCGCGGTGCCTGCCGAGAACAGGCTTTTTTTGAAAGCCTGGTTTTTTTTTTTTTAAGTTTTCTTTTGGGGGGCAAGTTTAGTTTTATGCGCTAGAGCCACATTCTCTGCCACAAAACAAGCAATGCACTTTTAAACTGGAGCCTTTACACAGCATGCTCTCCAGACGCCACGGAGTGAACGCAGAACGAAGGCCGGGAGGGCTGCACATACCCACCTCGCCACAGGGGATCCCGTTCCCAGAAGACCTCAGCGTTAAGCAGCAGCAAAAGCCAAGATTACAATTCTCTAGCAAGCTATGGAAAGAATGTGCCCTACCACTCTCCTCTCAGCAGCAAGGCCCCAGACACCTTACAGCAGAGCCACGAGGCGCCAGGAGACCCCGCAGCTGCTCACTGCCTGGAAGAATGCAGGGCAGGGTGGCCCCCAGGCCTGGCCGCATGGTGGGGAGCGCCCAAGGGTCCAGCCCAAGCCTGTCCTCACCCCCAGCTCCTCGGAAACCAGCTGCCACTGGAGGTGGCCGTGGGCGGCAGCGACAGCCCTCAGCCGCTCCACCTCCTCCGCGCTCCACTCTTGCTTGTTGATACTGGGGTGCTCAGAGCTCTGCCAGAACTTCTGGATCTCCTCTGCGCTGCGGCTGCCTTCAAACTGCATGGGGAGTACAGCTGTGCCAGGACAGCACGCCTGTGGCGTGGCCAGGAGAAAGTGGCCACCCTCCAGTTCACCTGGCCAACCATGTGCACACCTAGGAGCCTCTGGGATCAGCCGTCTCAAAGTGGGGCCTCAGGTTAGACAGCGAGGGCCCGAGGCTGCTCCTCCTGGCCAAGGGCCAGTGCAGGCTGTGGCAGCGGGGAACATGAAGCCCAACCACCCGCCCAGCTCTGCCCGCACTCGGCCCCACGGGAGGTTGCCCGGCCTGCTGCCCTGACTTACGTTGACTTTGGAAATCTTCTCCCAGTCATGGCTGTCCATTCTGCTCCCCAGCAGGGCCTCCTCCGGGAGCTGGCTGGAGAGGGCACAGGAAGGGTCGGCATCATGCCGCTGACTGGCTCCCCTGCACCTGCGGCCCCAGCTGGCTCACTTGATATCCTGGATCTCCTGCTCCGCACACCTGGCCTGCTCCTCCAGGGCCTGCCTCTCTGGCTCACTGGAGACCCGGCTCTGCTTCTGACGCAGGTACTCGAGCCTGTGAGGCAGGCGCAGACGGGATGAGTGCCATGGTGCCGCATGGTGAGGCATGAGGCGGGGCCTGCACGAGCTACGTGCGCCTGCCTTTCTCTGCTGCCTTGGTCCCTCACCGCAGCACCCACTGGAGTGCCCCGAAGACCAGCACAGCATTACCCAGGGCAAAAGGCTTGGTGGTTACCAGCTGTCCTGCATCTGAGGGCCCAGCCCACCCTGCTGAACCAGGGCAAAGTGGGCAGAGAAACGTGCTTCCCCAGGAGGCCATCAAGGGCAGACCAGCTCGCATGGCCATGGTAAGGCCCACCCTGCCCCACCCACTAGAGCCATAAGCCCGACCCCACGTGTGCGGCCCTTAGGTGGCTGGTGGCGCGCCCCACGCCAGACCTTGCCTGTCATGCTCTGTGTCCCTGGCTCCAGGCTACACAGGGGCTGGGGCAGACCCAAGGCCTATGGAACGGACACTTAGCCCAGACCCCACGGCTGCTCCTCAGAGGCCACCTGCGTGGGCAGGAACTCCGACTGCAGAACATAGGGCCCAACACAGCCAGCAAATGGCAGTGCCCTTGTGGCCCAGGGGCCCAGGGGCGGCCCCATCTGCAGACCCAGCCCACGGGCTTCAGCGGACAGTCCCATCCTCACAGGGGAAGCAGCAGACAGAAGCGGCCCAGGCCAGGTAGCTGAGCACGCAGCCAGGAGCCTCAAGCCAGCCTGGCTGTCCCTCCTGCCCCTGCCTCAGGGAGAGCCACAGGAATACTCCCACACTTACTTCAGCAGCTTGGGCTGGAGCAGGCGCTGGAGCCGGTCGCTCACCACAGACTTCCTGAGCAAGGCCTTCTCCCAGTGCTTCCCTGTGAAGGGCAGGGTCAGGGGGATCGTGCATGCCCCAGGGTACGCAATGCATCCTCTCGGCCTTGGCACCATGCTAGCTGCACAAAGGACTCTCTGGACACGAGATGGGCAGCTGCCAGGCCCACAGGCCAGCTTCTGTCCTGCCAAGGCCAGCTGTTCCCAGGGAAACTAGGAGACAGGAAGTGGGGAGCGGCCTGCACCTTCAAATGGATCCTGCTCCCTGGGAGACAGGGTCATGGCCACGGGAGATGGGTCTGTGACGCTTGTGTCCCCACACCATGGACCTGGGCGGGGCTCTTACACTTGGTCACCAGGAGCTCCTCAAAAGCCTTGATTCCCTGGGCAGCCTTTTCCCGTGTGTCTTCGTTAGCAGGAGGTCCCTGTGTCAGAAGGCCCAGTGCTGTGACGTGGCAGGCTGTGCTACAGTGGCCTTCAGGGCCCTGCCCTCCCTCGCCTCCTCTGCCCAGGCTGCTGCCACACAAACGGCCTGGGCGAGGCCCGACTGTGTGCAAGGTGGCCAGAGACTCTCGGTGGGACAAGCCGCACAGGCCTGTGGTCAGCAGCGGCGAGCTCTGTGACAGGGACTTGCCAAGGCCCCGACGCAGCCTGAGGGAGATGCACCCCAGGCCACCCACTCGGGGCAGAGGTCAGCATGCAGTGACTCCCACCAGGGACAAGAGGGCTGTAGGGAGGACAGAGAACGTCCCCAAGAACCCATGAGAACGTGGGACCACACAGAGCAGGCTGTGGGGCCGGGGCCCCTTCCAGGCACTGGGCCGTGCTGACCACAGCAGGGTCCCAGCCACTCACCACTCCGGTGACCTTGTCCTTGAAGTACGGCTTCATGAAGTGCCCGATGTACATATGTGGGGGCAGACCCTTGCTGTCCTTTGCTCGGGGGCCTTGGGACCCAGACAGGCCCCACAGCATCTCATCCTAGGACAGGAGTGAGACTGAGCCGATCCCAAAGGAGGGGTCGGGCTGTGAGCTTGGGGCTGCGGCAGGCAGGGTGGGCCCACCGAGGCCTACCTGCTGCTCCCGGTTCTGGGCCAGCAGCAGGCTGACCTCATTCAGCTTCTCCTGGATAACCTCCTGATAGACCATGTTCAGCTGAAGACAGGTCTCAGGGTCCTCAGGGAGGGCTTTATCCTTGGGGTCCTCCTCGTCATTGCTGGCGCCACCCCACCTCTCCTCGGCCTGATTAGGAACGGACGGCACACGCGGGCTCAGGCCACAGCATGAGCCCTGTTCTGGGGGCTGGGCCCTGGGACGCTGAGGCAGCTCTGGCACGAGATCACTGGGCGTGGAAGCAAGAGCTGGACGCTGGGAGGAGGCAAGGGCCTGAGCAGCGACTACACGAGGGATGTCTGGCGCGGGTCAGTGTGAGGACACAGCAGCTTCCCGCGGCTGCAGCAGGCACTGCCCTGCGCTTCTACCCCAGCTCACGGGGAGGGAGGAGCCGACAGCACTGCACCGGAAGGCAGGAACACCGAAATGCTCACAGGGCAAAGCACCCATGACCCTGAGCTATGCCAATCCCTGTGAGGGGCCCTAGCCCCTCCACACACAGCCCAACTCCGTACCTCCTGCCAGACGTAGGGAGAAAAACAAGGAAACTGGGCAAGTCTCTCTGGATGAGACCCCACATGAACAGGAGACAGCTAACAACTGGCACCCCACTGAATTCCAGCTGGCACTGTCCTGGGTGTCTGTCCACACTCACTGGCATGCAGAACTGACCCAACCGCCCAGCTGGAAAAGGGAGGCTCAGTAGGCACGGGGCTCAGTATGCAGCCTCCTATGAGACACTGCGTAGGTAGCGACACCACATGGGGCGACTAGTACCAGCTTGGAACGCTGGCAGGGCAAGCACGAGACAATTAGTGGTGATTATTTTCTGAGACCTTTTTTTTTTTTTTTTTTTGGCGGAACTGGGGATTGAACTCAGGCCCCTGTGCTTGCCAGGCAAGCGCTTATTCCACTGAGGTACCTCCCCAGCCCCACTAGGGCCAGTTTTCATCCTGAGAATAAGTGCTGGGCGGCAGCTTGCTCTTACAACACATGTTGTGTGTCGCACTGGGCCAGTGGCCAGTGTGTGCTGGGGAGGGCGGTGGCCAACCCGCCTGTGCAGCTAGGAGGGGAGCAGCATTACCAAGATCGGGGGGCTGGCGATGTCCAAGTCCTCGGCAGGAAGCAGCTCTGTCAAAACACAAGCGCACTGTGCTGCAAACCAGAAGACCGGGAGGCCACATGGGGCCCGGGAGCGGGCAGCAGGGAAGGGGTGAGGTTTCCTGGCGGGAGAGCCCAGGGCAGTAGAGATCCCAGGAGCCCAAGCCACAGTGACCAACCCACCAAGGCGGAGTCCTGGGTGCCCCTCCTCCCAGGATGGCATGTTCACCCACAGCCCAGGCAGGTGGGGGGCGGGGTGTGTGTACAGTCAGGAGCTAAGTGCCAAAGAACCGGGACCCGCTCTGTGACTGCAGTAAAGGCAGAGACCACCCTAGGCAGGAGAGAAGGGACTGCTGGGGGCCCCAGCTGCCCAGCACACCCCTGCAGGACAGGCGCGCAGCCTCACCTTCATCAGAAGAATCTGAATTGAGACTCGATCCAGAGACGTCCATAGGAATGCTAGAGGAGCTGGGGTCTAAGATCCTTTCCAGCTCCTTGATCTCCTTTGATATTTTTTCTCTTTCTGCATCTACGTCCATGACTTCCACCTGCCTTCAACACACGTCAGAATATTAGGATGCTAGAGAACCCTGTCCTGCCACGGTCCTCTCTGGAGGGCAACAGGTGCTGGCCAGCCCTGGTGCTGCAGCCCACCAGCCTTCTGCACCCCAAAAACTTCTCTGGGCTTTCCTTTGCCAGAGACCAACATCCTGTACATGAGACTACAGGCAGCACAGAGACCAGGTAGACAGCAGCCCGGGCCCCAGGCGGGTTTCTCCCAGGGCTAGCCTGGAGGAAGCTGGTCACCAACTGCAGAGTGCAGAGTGTGGCAAAATGGCTACAAAGCCAAGGCCCGGTAAGATCTAAACTATGGTTCCAGCTGCAGGGGCATCTAGCAGATGACACAGCACCTGGACAGCACCAGAAGGGCCCTCCTGAGGAAAGGCTTCTTCTGTCCCCGCTCTCTCTCCAGCCAGAACACCACCTGGCTGGGGCCCGACACTGCACAAACACCCAATGAAACAGAAGGAGAGCTTTTTCCTTAACAACAGTGGTGAGCAAAGACCAAAGGGAGAAGGAAGTCGGGAAGACAAGGCATTGGCAAAGAATACTGCAGAAAATCGTGTGTCACGCCCGGAAGGCCAAAAGGCAAAGCAGCAGCCTCCCCTGTCCCTGGCTTCCCCTCCCAAGTGGAACCTGTCCGTCTGCAACGACACAAGCGCCCACAGCAGGCGCCGTCCGGGGCACCAGGCCTACAGTCCCTCGTGCTGGGCCTGTGAGCCTGCAAAGCGCTCAGCAAGGAGCCGGCGGGTCTGCAAAACCGCGGCAAGCTCAAAGCCGCCGTCCGTGCGGCTGGGCACGCAAGGTTGGGAGGAGGAGCTCTCTTCCGCTGGCCTGGCCTGAGGAAAGGCAGCTCGCGCTGAATCCCCTGGCACCTGCTCCCGGCCCCGACTCACACCAGGCCGCCCAGGTGAGGCCGCTCAGCGTCCCGAGTCCGGATCCCGCGTGCCGGCGGGCCGCCTTCCGACAGAGCCGCCTCTCCGGCAGGCAGCTCGGAGTCCCGGGGGCCTTCAGGCCGCCCGAGCTCAGCTGCTCCTCTCGGGGCTGCACCCTACAAACCACCCATGCAAGGCGCTGCCGGCGCCCCCGGGAGGAAGGCGGAGGCGCGCGGCCCAGGGCCAGAGCTGCGAGCGCCGGCCGCGGACCTCCCGGGACCAGGCACGGGACGCGCGGGCCGCCGCCTCCCGCCGCACCCCGCGGCGCAGCAGCCTGCTCCCGCAGACAGCGTCCCCTCCGCGGGGTCTGTCCCGCCCGGCCCTCACCTGCGGGGCGCCTCCCAGGAGAGAGAAGTCGCGGGCCCGCCGCCCTCCGTCACCCAGGCGACAGCCGACTCCAAGCTTCCGGCAGGGGCGGAATTTACGCACGCGCAAAGGAAGTCCCGCCTCCCCGGGCGCGGGGCACGCCGGGACAGCAGCTCGGGCCGCAGAGACGCGCTGCTCCGCGCTGCCCTCCCGCGGCCGGGATGGGTACTGCTTCGCGCTTGGGCCGGCGGGGCTGCCGGTGCTTGTAGGAAGGTGCTGGGGACGCGGTTGGCCAGCCAGCCTGACTTGCACACCGGGAGGGCTGGCTGCGTGCAAAGCCCGCCTCCCCTTCCGCTCCCTCCGTGGCACGCGGCGTCCACGCCAGACCGCTGGCCCAGGGGCATCCCAGCTGAGTTGGGTGAGCCCTCTGCAGGCCTGGCAGCACCCGGGGACGCAGGGGGCAGGCGCTCGGGTAGCATGGCCAAGCCCAGGTGGCTCTCCAGGCCGAGTCCAGCCCCTCCCTCTACCTGCACCTGAGCGGCCGGAAGGCAGGCACACGGTGGGTGACACGAGGGCCACCTCGTGCTCTGCCCATTAGGTGAAGAGGACACCAGCTGGCCCCAGGCAGATCTGTGGCTGACAGCCTTGGAGCTCCAACCCTCTTCTGGGCTTCCCTGGTGTGCTGTGCACGAGGAAGAGACCTGACCCCTGACAGGCAGCTGCGCAGCGCACACTGTGTCTACATGTGCTGGTTCATCCAGAGGTGAACTGGCACAGGTCACCAGCGACAAGAGCAAGCAAGATGCTGCTGTGGCGGTAAGGGACAGCCACATGGCTCACTGCACAAAGAACGGGCCAAGTTGGAAGAAAAACACAGCATGTGAGCTTTAGAATTTATTTACACAGAAATGTTATAGGATTAAACTTATTGGCTTGTTCCTCGAGGACGGCCCAAGGCTGGTCTACACACATTCCCAAGCCCCTCAGCGAAGACTGGCTGAGAGCTCGATGGCCGGCATGAATGTGTGGCCCCACCCCGGGCATCTGAGCGGAGGGGAGCAGGGGCCTCTGCACTCGGCCAAGTACTGAAGCTGCCCGCAAGGCCTCAGGCGTGAGCTGCCAGCCAGCAGGAAACCCAGCGGCAGCAGAAAGGCACACACCCACCCCTGACGCCAAGGGGGGCCACGGAAGGCACCCGCGGTTGGGAAGGCACACACCCACCCGACGCCAAGGGGGGCCACGGAAGGCACCCGCGGTTGGCTCCCCAGACGAGGGAAAATACTTGCTGCACAGTGGCTTGCAAGTTCTTTCAGAAGCCACTGTCGCATACACACCCTCCCAACACACGTGTCAGCGACCGATACAGCAGAGCTGAACCGAGGGGGCCATCTGTAAACCACGGGTGTGACACACACGGGCCGCTCCTGCAGCGGTGGCCAACAGAGCTGCGTCACGTTGTACAATCAGGGTCTCATGTGCTTTACTCTAGCGCAGTACTGTAGTGAGGGGTGCAACCGTGTACTCAGATGGGTGGCGGCCGTCTGGGCACACGGAGCCAGGAGCCGAGCGCGCCCAGTGTCTCAAGAGCTCTCCTCATCTTTCACCTCAGAAATTCTGTCTATAGATTTAAGGATTTCAGCAACGAGATTCAGCGTTTCGGCTCCAGAAACCAGCTGCCTACAATGAAAGCAGATCAGGGCTGCTACTCGAGGCCCGCAACAGGAACAGAGGAAAAGGGTCCTCAAACGGGCACAATGGTCCTCACTGCCCCCAAGTGCACAATGGCGGCTTAGGCGGCTCGGCCCCTGGCACACAGGTGCAGGGGCAGGGTGACTTTCTGACAGACTGGAGGCACATGTGCCCAGCACTAGCAACCCCATGGTGACCCTGACCAGGCAGGGGCCTCCACCCCAGGGTCACAGCCAGCGGAGCTTCAGGGGTGCGAAGCTGTGGTCCTGCCAGGTGCGCCCAGTCCTCTTGGCCTTGCGTGGGTGTCTTGGGATGCAGTGCACCGTGTGGCGAGGAAGGGGCGCCAGGACTGTGGAGCCAGCAAGGCAGGAACAGTGCCTGCCGGGAGCGTTGGGAGCCTTGCACAGCCGCCCTGGGTTTGTCCAGGCGCAGAGGCCCTGTGCTGCCCTTTGTCCCTCTGTGCAGCGAGGCTCCTGAGGCAGGCTGAGCTGCTGGCTTGCTGCCCAGACGGACCCTGCAGCCTCGTGTCCAGAGCCTGGCCCGCCCAGGGGGCCCTCCTGTCCCGTGGTCCCCCTCCTCACCGTATGGATGTGTGCGCACTGTTCATGACCACGCGCAAGTTCTGCAAGGCCACGTCGGTGTTCTGCTTCACCACCGTCAGGCTGGCGCCCTGGCCCGACCGCAAGGCTTCATTCTCCCGCTTCAAGCTGGAGACCTGTGCCTGGGAGGGCGGGGAGGGCCTCTGTGAGGGACAGTCACCTCAGGGCACTCCTACTGTCCAGGGCGCCCAGAGCAGACGGGGCCCAGCACCTTCTCACTCCGAAGCCCTCTCAACACCCGCTCTTTACGGCCACCCCAACCTGGACCCTCAGCATCTGCCGCGAGGACAGCACACGGCTCCCCTTATCCTTGCCCAGAGCTCAGGCCTGAGCAGAAAGCTTGTGCTGCCGGCATTACCACCTCCCCTGCGGTGGCACACAGCAAAGCCACCTTCTGCCTCCACAGGCGTGCGCCACTAAAGGAAGGGAAAGCTGAAGGCCTCGACCCTCGTACCTGGAGCAGGCTCGCCTCCTGCTTCAGCTTCACGACGTGACCTTCTGCCTTCACAGCTCGTTTCTGTTGCCCAAGACACAAATGGGCACAGGAGGCATCGCTGATGGCAGGTCAGGAGGCCGCCCCTCCCGGCAGGGGCCCGGGTGGCCACAGCAGGCGGCGCGCGACTGACCGCTGCGCCCAGGGAGCCCGGTCTGCTGAGGGCGCCCCGGCCCACGCCCGGCCCCGCTTACGGTCATCAGCTCCAGGTTCTGCTCCACCCGCTGCACTGCCGACTCCAGGTCACGGTAGTCGCTCTCCTCCCTGACCATCTTTGCCTCCAGCTTCCGCTCAAGTGTTCTCAACCTGGTACAGGGAGACCCGGGCTGAGCGCATGCCGCCGTCTCAAGGGCGTTTTTCATTTAAGCTGGAAGAGCTTCAATTTCTCGTGGGATGAAACGCGCTCAGAGCCAAGGACCTGATCACGAAACCTGGCTGTGCAGCAGCGACTGCCCGGGTGCCCCTGGGCTCCCCAGTGTGAGTCTGATGCCTGGAAAGGCTCACTCAGAGCCAGCGTGGCAGCTCAGGCTTGTGACCCCACGCTCGGAGAGGCTGAAGCCTGAGTATCAGAATGCAAGCCCAGCCTGGGTGACTTTCCTGAAACACTGGCTCAAATTTTAAAAATTAAAAAAAAAAAAAAAACGAACTAGAAATGTACCTCAACGTGAAGGCCTGGGGTTCAGCCCCGAGTACGGGGTTGGGGGGATTTACCCTGGAAGCCTGCTCAGCACAGTAACAGCCAGGTACAGCCTGGGCGTGGCCAGCACCTAGAAACTGATGTCCCTGGGTGGTGACGCACGTTTAGGGTCGACTCCTGACTAAAAGCTTACATACATTTCTGTTTGAGTTTCAGAGAAGCTCTGAACCTCATTGAGCTTTCTTCTTAGCTTAGAATTTTCATCGTTCAGCTGTAGAGAAAGAAAATCCTCGTTAGAAACTTAGCACACCTCGTCCTAAAGCCTAAGTGCTTCTGTGACGGGTACTGCCACTTCCGGGCTTTGTTTGCTGTGGCGCTAGGCACGTGCAGTACCACAGAGCTGGGCTTGCCTGGACCTAGCCAAGGGACACAAGTGCCCAGGTGAGCAGAGTGCCGCTCAGCACCAGCGCGAGGGGGACGCGGTGCTACGGACTCTGCCTTGCAGCCTTTGTAAGTGAGCACGACTTGGAACGCCTCACTTGGAACGCCATGACAACGCTCACCAGCCAGGCCTGGGTGTGTCGCTGGACACCAACAAGCCTTGCCCTGTAACCTGCTTCAGTATGTCTCTTCCTTTTCAAGACAGAGCTTGCCGCACAGTCCAGGCTGGCCCCAAGCTCGCTCCGTAGCCCAGGCTGGCCTCAGAATTGCAGTGAGCTCCCTGCCTCAGCTGGGGTCACAGGCGTGCGCCGCCGCCACGCCCAGCACAGTTCCCGTTCTTTCTGCTTAGTGATACTTACTGTGTACTCAAAGCCAACCAAGGGGCCAGCTCTCCACAGGGAAAATGCAGCAGCCCCAGCTTTGCCCCTGCTCCACACGAGGCACCACGCCACCCTCACTTACTGCTTCATAACTCCTCTGCAGGGTCCGCAGCTGTCTGTCCCCCAGGCACTCTCCGTGGGCTGCAAAGTCGGTGCCTGGACTCACAGATGGGGATGCTGGGGAAACATGTGAGTCTGTGTCGCTCATTGTCCATGGGGGCAGACACTCGGGCCCTGCCAGCTCCGAGGGGGTGGAAAAGAAGGAGAGGCAGGTGCCGCACGGGGACGCGCTGCTGGTGGCCCCAGCCGAGCAGGTCTGCTCCACGGCCGACGGCAGGTAGGCCCCGTTCCACCCGTCCTCCTCCTCGTCATCCTCATCCAGGAGGTCTCCTGCCCCTGTCAGGTCTTCAAAAAATGGCTGCGGATAGTCCAGGCCGAAGCCCACAGCCTGGGTGCTTGGGGAGCCAGGGTCCAGTCCCAGGGAGCGCCTTGAGGCTTCCTGCAAGAGTGGAGGTGAATTCTGCAGGTGGAAGCCATCACCTGCACTTTCCTCCCAGCCCGCAACCTGAAGAGGGGCCTGTGCTAGCCAGCCCTGGCAGTACAGGCTCAATTCCCAGCTCCTCTGTGCTGAGACAGGAGGGTGGTGAGTTCAAGGCCAGCCTGAGCAGTTCAGTGACCTCCTGCCCCGCAGCCTACAAAAGGCCACTGGGGAGGCATGAAGTGCCGGCCTGACATGCACAAGGCCCTGGGTTCAATCGCTGGCACCATAAGCGAGAAAGAAAGAGGCTATCTTGTCTACCACAGAGCCAAGGAGCTGTCACCCCCAGGCTTCTCTACCGCAGTAACAGCAGCCCTGCTTGTCCATATTCCCTCCCAGTGCTGCAGGGTCAGCCTCCACAGCCTCACGTCTACCTTCAGGTAAACTCTACTGTTGCTTGTGTCCTCTTTCGACAGACTTAGATTCTTGATTTTTAAGAACTCTTTAAAGGAGAATGGGTTTGCCTCTTCAAGGTCTTCAAGTTTATCATCTGAAACAACAGACATCACAAAGATCACAGGGCGCCTCCCTCGTCCCTCGTCCCACAGCAGCCATGCCTTCTGGGTAATGCTGACCTTACAGTGGCAATTGACGCAGGGGAGCGGGCAGGCCGCCCTGAAAGCGGGCATGAGACAGATCTGTGTCTGCCTGCTCACTTCTCTCATTCCTCACCCCTGGGTCCCCCAGGAACCCTGCAAGTCCTTTGGTGCTGTGAACGGGACCCTGTGCCTCACCCATGCTAGGCCAGCGCTGGGCCACACCCCCATCACCCAGCGTCTTTATGATGCGGCACTATGGAACAAGCTCAGGTACCAGGGAAGGGGGCCTGCGCACACGTGGGGCGGCACGCTCCTCAGGCCCTGCAGGGCTTGGGAACCGTTCTCAGTCATCTAGGCTCACTCAGCTTACATTCCCTGTCCACGTTTGACCATCACACTCCCCTGTGGTCCCCCTTCCTGGAGCTGCCCCAAGTGCCCGCCCACGCAGAGAGGACCCCTGTCATCCCACCCACCCTTGGCTGTCTGGATGGGGCTGTCTACCTCCCTCACAGCCCCTGCTGTGCCGTTCTCCTTTCCTATCACCTCCAGGGGCTTGCAAGACACAGTCTTGGGAGTCCTCCCACACCTGGTCTTTTGGGGCCCAGACATGCCCCTCAGATCCTGCCAAATCTGCAGCCCTGTGGCTGGACTCACGCCTGGCATGGTGTGGCGTGATCTCGGAGCTACACTACCTCCAAATCGTGTCTCGAGGGCTCCTGACGGACTCTGCTTAGCACTTTTCCCTTTTCCACTGCCAAAATCTGCAAAGACACAGGGCCACGGGCCCCCCACCACATCACCAGAAGCTGTGCGACCACAGCGCCTTCGGGAGGCCCGGCGTCCGCGGCGCCCCTCGCTGCCCGCGGATCCGCCGAGCGCGGGCGAGCTCTGCACCCCGCGGGAAGCGGGGCGCCTCCTACTCCCGGCCGCCGCCGCCGCCGCCGCCGCCGCCTGGGGCTC